TCTGGTGCAATCGTAAAAGAACCACCAGCAGATGACTCCCAGATGACCTACGATCTCCAGTAACCATGAATGGCGAATCGATCCACGTTGTCCAACTGTTTATGAAGCTGAAAAAGGTATAGGAAACCAGAAGCCAGGGATCGTAATAGAGGCTGATAAGCTTACCCCTGAGATTTTTAAGGCTGGTGGTGCAGTTTTAACAGTTGAATTGACTGAGATCTGACTGGTTTCAATCACTGATTGTCCTAATCTAGGAGAAAGGTTAAATTCCTCTTGTGACACTCACAGGGGAATATGTCTAACTGATGTAGTTTCTAAATTGTTAGCCTCCATTATACTTAGACACCTTACTAGAGCTTGTGAAGAGCAGAGTCGAAGAAACCAGGCTGGTTCAGACGTCCTACGATAGTTGTCTTCCTTGACATTAAGGCGGCATTTTACTGTGTGGACCGTGAAATTTCGTGGCAGTGTCTCTCATTGAAAGGTGTACCAAAGAAGTACATTAACTCCATACAAGCTCTCTTTTCGAACAACGCTGGTCGGGTGAGAGCCTCTGGCGAACTGTCACAGGGATTCTTTACTTCAAGTGGTGTCCGTCATGGCTGTCCACTCTCTCCATTCTTAATTTTATCATAGACATGCTCTTAGAAATAACCTTATCGTCGTCTGAATTTTCAGGAGTAGACCTTTCACCAGGTAGCTCGCTTATTGACTTAGAATATGCCGATGACATTGTCCTACTTGGTGAAGATGCTGACAAAATGCAGAGTCTTCTGACCACCCTAAGCAACAATGCAAGCATGTTCGGGATGCGGTTCTCACCCTCGAAATGCAACATGCTGCTTCAAGACTGGGTTGCATCGGCACCTGAACTAGTGATAGGCAGTGAAGTAGTCCAGCGTGTTGATCACTTCACTTATCTGGAGAGTCGCATCAGTGCTGACTGATTGCCTGGTGACTGACGAAATATCAGCACGAATACAGAAGGCCCGATTGGCTTTTGACAAGTTGCGTCACCTATGGCGCAGGCGAGACATCCCTCTGCTAACCAAAGGACGAGTGTACTGCACAGCAGTTTGCTCCGTCCTACTATACAGATGCGAAACATGGCCAGTGAGAGTGGTAGATATTCGTAGGTTACTAGTATTCGATCATAGGTGTCTCCGGAGCATTGCTCGTATACCGTGGGACAACCGAGTAAGCAATGCTGTCGTTAGGAAACGAGTACTAGGTAAGGATGGCAGATCAATAGATGAAGTGTTGAAACTTCGTCAGTTCAGGTGGTTGGGACATGTGTTACGTATGCCTAACCACCGACTGCCTCGACGAGCTATGTTATGCAGTGTAGGAGTAGATTGGAAGAATGCTAGGGGCAATCAGAACAAAACATGGCAGAAATCGATGAAGTCACTGACAAGTGGACTGAGTCATGTCGGTAATTGTCGACTACGTGGTTGGGGTTCGCGAGATGTTAGTATTGGATTGTTAGATACCCTGAATGACATGGCTCAAAATCGTTCGCAATGGCGCAGGTGCATTTATTCTTTGTGTTCTCTCAAATCCTAAACTTTTTAATTCCTCACCACTTTATTTTATTGTCTATTTCACTAGATTTTATTGCTTGAATGATATCTTCTAATCCTAACTTCTCCAACTACTGCTAATACCTTTACTACGTCTAGTACTATTAGATTTGAATTAACAATTACATCTCTGTGCTATTGTGTTATGGCGACATGAACTGATGTACTTACGTACGAAGTTCTACGTTGCTATTGATCGATTGTATGAGACGTTTTACCCGGGAAGACTAAAAGAAGCTACTCAACACCGGAAAGATGTCGTACTGCTGCTGAGTTTAATATTATCACTAAGATGTTTTTCTCTAAGTTTAATGTTAATATTTATCAGAAATAGGTGGTTATCTGAGCATAACTACAGCAGATACTCTTCATAATCTGTTCAATGGGCTGCGAGAAAATAAGATCCACCTAGGTTTCAACTAATCTGCCCACTTGTAACTCCAGCGATTGGTCAATTTCTGTTTAGCCAGGAGCTAACTTGTATGTATGTGTAAGGAGCAGCGTGAAATGTTATCTGTAAGACGGACAATAGAAAATGTGAGTCGATGACTCAGTAAGTCCATAGAATGTACTTACATTCAATAGAGACAGCAATCAGAAATAATGCAAGCATTAGATGAGAAAAACTGATAATTGAAACTAGAAGTTGGTAGAGTAAGGTTTAGAATGCGTTACAACTTGTCCAATCGAATCAACCTTCAATAATGCTTAGATTTTTGGAGGATGAGGAAATCTCCGTAAAAATAATCTTTTATTTCATCTAAACTATGATAAATGGATGCACAGGCAGAAAAAATGAAGACGCTACTACGTGTGTTACGAAATTTTATTATCTCGTTTAGCTGAACAGCGCACATAAGACTGTCTATAGTGATCTAGTCTATGAGAGCTAGTTATACTTTGGAAGTTAGTGCTATACCGACCGGGAAGAGTAGAAGCGCTTGGCCGTAGTGTAATGCTAATATATAGAGAAACAAGGTCATTGAGACGGTTATAACTTGAAATGAGTCTTTCCTCTCTCCTACACGCAAGGTTTTATGGTATAATCCATCGTCAGAATTTCGTGCGATAATGACCATTTTCTAGGGTACCCTACCGTCGAAGAAGCCTCCAACATATCATCCTGCCACGATGTCAAATACTGTCTCACGGTCAGCGAAGCTGAAGTAAAGTGGTGAGTTCCATTCGACTGATTGTTCCACAATAACCCGTAGTGTTACAATTTAATCAGTATACGATCGACTCCCTATGGATTCAGGCCTGCTGATGTTGAGGTTGGGCGACCACTGATTCTTTTATTCGGCTTACCAACACTGTTGAAGACCTTGTAGAGGCTCTACGAATCTTTGCCACATAAGGTTTCACCAGCCTATACAATTCTTTGGTTGAAACTAGGAGAGGTAACCTTTCTTAACTATAATGAATTTGTTAACTTAACTCAATTATCGGACTAACACATTGCTGAAATATCCTTCAAGGCTCACAAAATAATGACTAGACAATGTACACGTTGGGAAAATAAATCGGAACTACATGAAACGAAAATACGTTCCCAATGTGTAGCGAGATACATAGTATTCAAATCGCTATGAGTTCATTACACAAGAACAAGGTTCACGCAGTATTTATAATGAATGCATACTTGACGAGGGGTTTAATGATATCAATTTAAAAATATTAAAACAATCAGATCTATAGCATATTCATTAAGTTTGTGAATGATCATTATCAAAACCTTGCTTAGAAGACCTAAGCGAAGAATTTACATGTAACCGTAATGAAGCGATAATGCACAGCATCACTGGTTGATGTTGTGCCAAGGTGTCATCAGTTATGACAGGAGTGGACAAAGAGGGTTTGTCTTTCATGGATGCCAACTGATGACACAGAACACGAAAGTACAAGATGACCGCCTTCTTGCTTATCGCTACATCAGAACAATTTCCTGTGAGTTTAGTCTAGCATCGAGTCATGAATCCGTTTGGGCCAAACATCAGTTTCGAGGAGTAATAGATATGTACTTCTATGTTGACGATCACCTAGTATCGGTCGAAAGTATTGAGATAGAGTTTAACAAATAGCATTTGAGATGCGTTGTCCCAGCCCGGGTTTAATTCAACAAGGTTTGTGTCTAGTCGTTACGACTTATTGTAAGAAGTCGAACCATATAGTCGAAGACTAGGGATACACGATTTGTCTAAGAACCTGCCGCCAGTACTGTTAGAATGCAGAAACATGTAACTACGTCGTAGGAATGGTAGTGGATAACATTAGGCCGATTACCGAGAGGGAGGCTTGAGCAAAATACAGTGATCAAGAGTTTGCAAGAATCAGTAAAACAAATATGTTCTACCCTTTCCCCAACAGTAACGGTAATCGTTTCTGATAACTTTGATTTAAAATCTGTGTACGTAGCTCACAAGGAAAATCAAAAATTCGTGTGTATATTGTAACGACTCATTTAGAGTAATGCTAATACTATGGATATTATGGATGCTAAGAGAAAATCAAAGGTATAAAAATCCTTCAGTCGTTTAAATAGAACTTAGTATTTGAAAAAAGGCGATACAAAATATATAAAAGTGAATAACAAGTAATCTGATAGTTCGAGATATAAGTCTACATTACAATTTCATAGATCCTTTAGTTCTGTCAAGAATATCGTGCATTGTTAACGACTGACCAGGAGATACTCCATAACCGTTCAGTAATCCGACAGAATTTGATGGAGTAATACAATCGTCTTTGACCTCTTTCCGGATGCAGGTATCAACTTCAACTGAAGTGAAAAATGCTACTGTCTGCCAGAAAATAGTAGATAAGAAAATGATTAAAGATTGAATTAGTAAATATAACTAAACACTGGGAAAAAGAAACAAAAGCTAAATTCTGGTTAAGCTTATCAAAACATTTATAATTTCTGAAGAATTATTAACTTCTAGAAACGAACAGTGTAGTGAAGAAAATTCAACACCTTTGTGGCAGTATATTCATAACATATCAATTGGCAAGAACAACAATGATTGCATCAGTTAAACTGATGGTACTCAGAAATAATCTAAATTGTGATCAGTAAAATCTTCATAAATACAAGAATTAATGACGAAATACAACTTAACAAATAGCAAACAACAATTAAAATGTAACGGAACTATAAAAATCATCTTTGACATTTATTTATTCATACAGTGTAAAATTTATTTCACACGTTGAAATCAATAAATAAACATTTCACTATTCATATACTATTTTACAAAACAATGATAATGTTTCATTTATTAGAGAAGTGTTATTAAACAACTAAAGAATAATTGCTAATACGAGGGTAAGAGAGAGAAAGAGGAAAAAGTGAGTTTGAAGCGAAATCAAGGTATAGTAAGACCATAAAATCGTTAAACACATTTAATATAACCATTAAAATAATTGTATTTTATCTTGAAACTCTTAGGATATGAGTCTTCCAAAAGTACTAAAAATGATTGCAAAAATAGAAAGGATAAACTAGATTTGGCCTTTTAAAAATACAATACGATGTACATCTGTTAGTGGAACATAGAGTGGATTAAAGCATGATTGCGTTGTTGCACGCTGATTGGCTCTTTCGTATCCAACCAGCCGATGCTGAGGGAACATTCTAGAATTTTCTTATGTAACGTCCTTTTTCCTTTGAACTTTCTGTCTTCCTTCTAACCTTGTTATTGGAATATAATCTATTTCCTGTTCAACTGTGTTCTGATTTGGGAGAATGTTTCAAGTGAATTGGTGTCCGAGAATACTCAGCATTAGGAAATAGCTGGGTTGTAAGAAGAGCGAGATTTATAAAACAACACTATTTTAGATAACTCAGTTTATCTCGAAGAATAATTATAGCTGATTAAATAAGAAATAGATTAGGTAAGTATAAAGGATTTATAATATCAGTCTACCTTCTTCTAAACAAATATCACTTATTTATCATTAAAGACAAACACGTTAGTGAATTTCCTGCGACAACAATGGGATTCAGTCACAAGACGACAATATGAAGAAATCTTTTTTATTTCAGCATATTATTAAGTGAAATACCTATAAACTTATTTCCTTGAGTGTATTGTGAACAAAGTAAATTGAAATAAAAATCCATTGATTTATGTGTTATGAAAAATCTACGTCAGAAGAAATCAGCATTTCATGAGTTAGATAATGCCGCTTCGGTTATATTATAACAAAAAGAATTGTTAAGATTTCCATTGTGCAAATCAGAACAAATAAAAGTGGACATTATTTTTTTCAGTTAGATAGTCATCATGCTTTGCTCCAAATATACATAAATATTTAAATGAAATTATTAAACTAAATAGGGTAATTTACGAGTCAATGACCGAAATGAAATAGATTGCATTACTAAACATAATACAAATTCATGGTAAGAAGACAGGTGTACTATTGATAACAAAGGTTTTAGTCAATAGTTTAACATAGGAACTAGGTCAAGCTTGGATTATTAGACTTTAAAATAATAATTACACATACTGAAACTACGTATTACGAAGTGTGTAAATAATTAAACGAGGAGGAATGCGAACCGTACGAGGTAAAAAGGCAGATATTATTGACCAAATAGGAACTTTTAACGAAACGTTGACTGCTTAGGATGCTCTTCTAACTGCGTTACTGATCTGATAATAACAATAAGCTGCAACGAAGAACTTCGTACGTAAGTACACCTAGGAATGGATTCGAAAACCCCATTACAAACGATTCTGAGCCATGTCATTCTAGGTCTCCAACCAGCGGTGACTTTCGTCTCACGAAACTCAAACAAGTAGCCTACATCTACCAACATGACTCAGTCCACTTGTCAGTGAATTCATGCATTTCTGCCATGTTTTGATTTGGCCGCCCCTAGCTCTTTCCAACCTACTCCTACACCACAAAACATAGCTCGTCGAGATAATCGGTGGTTGGGCATTTAATCTACCTGCTAAAACTAGACCACCATCTTTATACATCTCAGGAGTCAATCTATCGAGGTCCACTGCTCTAACACGCTTCAGACCTCTTATAGTTTTCGCAACTTTATAAAGATTCGAAGGAATTATATCGATTAGACATTCAGGATGACTGGAGATTGTGGGTAACCAAAGCGTCGCTGAAGACCAATGTAACTGATACCTGAAGTGTTCTGCCCATCGATCCAATCTCCTCGTTCCAGAATGAATGATACGACCATTCTTTTCTGAGATACTTTTGCCTACAGGTGGGTTTGTAATACCCGTTTCCTTGATAAGGCGGAACACTTGTATACTGTTAACTATCATCGCCAACTTCTCTATAGCTCTTGGTTTTGCTACCCACCACTGTTCGCGATCATTGCTTAGGCTTCTTATCAGCCGGCACTTAAGTTGACTTCGTACTTCATCATGTTCAGAGCCATGCGGAATGAGTTTCCAAGCGTCTATCAGTTTAGCAGATGTTACTGGGATCCACGGCTTCCCTCTAACCTTATGGTTTACTTTATTAGCAGATATTACTGCTGTTTCCGCGGGTTCTCGGAGATCGTTCCAAGCTGTCTCGGGATGGGCATGACAATATGTTGTGGCCAAACTGTTTTTATAGTTGTTCCTGGAATATATTTTTGACTTTGCGGTCATTAGGTAAAACACTAATGGGTTTCCTTGCAGTGTCTTTTCTATTTCCAGTTGGACGTAGACTAATACGCGCTCGAATTAGGGCATGATGTAAATCCAAAACATGTCCCGTAGAATGAGCGACAGTGCTCTATTGAACCACTCCATATATGGCTGATAGCGACATGATCTAGCTGTTTCCAGCAATGGGACGAATTTGGGAGTCGTTATATCAAAAGATGCTTAATAGGAATAGGCAATTATCTGGGCATACTTGCCATTATCTGATCTTTGAACAACGACACCATTAGATACACCCAGGTGTCTACTGAGATCCAGTAGAGTAGACACCCGACCGAAGCGGCTACCTTGACGTGGTGGTCGGGCTTGCCTATCGTCATGACCCAACCGAACTATACTGGCTGGAACTTATGTTTCTGGAGGTTCGACCATGCCAGGAAGGTCGATTGGAGAGCGACGAGACTAAAAGCAGCTACCCAAGGTCTCAGGGCGAAGTCGTACTGCTAACTGCAGAGGGTTGTGACAGCAGTAAGGTGTTTCCCTCGGACAACCAGCATCTGCAGCGATGCTGCCTTCTCACAAGGAAGGAAGGGTTAGAAAAGGTCGACCCTAAAAATGTCACACCTCACCCTACCTCACAGATTTCCGTCTCCGGCGGTAAGGGTGCCCACTAAGGGCTTTCAAGAGCGGAGCTAACACTCAAAAAACTTCTCATAAAAAGTCCGCGCGTGACAAAAAGCTTTCAGACCTCCTCCTAATGGCTGGTGACTTTAATGCTCAGGTATGTAGACTAAGTGAAAATGAAAGACATCTAGGTGGATGTTATGGTATCGCAGCTCAGAGAACAGACAATGGCGACCGTCTGTCGCAACTGTGCTCAGAAAACCGCCTATTTCTGGCAAACACTAATTTTTAACATAAGAAAAAACATCTTTTGACCTGGCGACCCCCGAAGTCGTCTCAACGTTGGAACCAACTAGATTACATTGCCATCAGCCACCGATGGAGGGATTCGATAGAGGATTGCAAGTCGTTCTGGAGCACATGTTTAGATTCAGATCATGTCCTAGTGCGAGCGCGTATTTGTTTAAGGCTTACTGGACGTAGGAAAGACACCGTAAGGAAGCCCCTTAGGGTTTTACTTAATGATAATGAGGCGAAGAATATATTTCAGGAACAACTAGAAAGACAGTTAGGCGACCATTTAAGCGATTCCAATCCGGAGGCAGGTTGGAATGATATCAAAAAGGGTGTGGAAACAGCAGTGATATCTGCTAGCAAGGTAAACCATAAGGCTAGGATGAAGCCGTGGATTTCATTCGTATCCACCGAACTGATGGATGCTCGAAAACGCATCCCACCTGACTCTGAACATGATGAAGAGCGTAGTCAGCTTAGGCGCAGACTTATAAAAAGCCTACGTAACGACCGTGAACAGTGGTGGGTGGCGAAAGCAAAAGCGATTGAAAAGGCAGGGACGATAGGCAACAATAGAGAGCTGTTCCGCCTTATCAAAGAAACCGGTATTAGGAACATGAATGTGAGTGGGACTGGACTTCAGCCACACTTCGATTGCCCACGATCCCCAGTCATCCTGAATGGCAAATCGATTTAAGTCCTCCCAGTCTACATGAAGTTGAGAATGCTATAGGAAATCTAAAGCGAGGTAGAGCAGCAGGTCCTGATAGGCTTATCCCTGAAATGTTTAAGGTTGGTGGTCCAGTTTTAGCAGCTAGGTTGACTGAGATCTTAGGTAGAATCTGGGAACTGGACACAATCACATCTGACTGGTCTCAGTCGCTAATTGTCCTAATCTATAGGAAAGGACATAAGTCTTCTTGTGACAACCACAGGGGAATAAGTCTAACTAATATAGTTTCTAACTCCGCCAGTAGAACCTTCGGGGCTACTGCCGGTCCCAAGCTCGGGTAAAGCAGGAGGGTTGGACATGGGGTTGGCGACCACATTCCGTCGAAATCTAACGTGCCGAAAAAACGCTAACCAGAAAAAATAATTCAAACCATTTTAACTCTGCCCTGGGAGTTGGAAGAAGAAATATGACGTCGCGTGATGAAAGCCGAGTTCCTTCGGAAGTCACGGGGCCGATGCCTCTTCTGACAACCAGAGTAACCATTCTTTTAGGTACATGGAACGTTCGTACATTGTGGGAGACTGGAAGACTATTTCAAGTTGCGGCAGAAATGAAAAGATACAACCTCGAGGTGCTCGGCATCAGTGAAACGCATTGGACACAGGTAGGACAACTGAGACTGGATGTCTGTTGGTACTCTTGCAAAAATTGAAGAAAGGAGGAACAAGACGGCAGAAATCAATGTCAGCCGAACAACAGCAGAGAAAGTTAAGGCACAAGTTGCATACACAGAAGCAAACAGGGGAGTGACCAGGCTGGTTTTCGACCTGGACGTGGTTGTATAGACCACATTTTCACACTACGACATGTCCAGAAACACAGACAAACATTTAGGCGTCCAACAATAGTTGTTTTCCTGGACCTAAAAGCGGCATTTGACTCAGTGGATCGTGAGGTTCTGTGGCAGTGTCTGTCAGTTAAGTGTATACCAAATAAGTACATTAACCTTATACAAGCTCTTTACTCGAACAACACTGGTTGAGTGAGAGCCTATGGCAAAATGTCATCGGAATTCTCTACATCAAGTGGTGTCCGTCAGGGATGTCCACTCTCTCCATTCTTGTTTAACTTTTTCGTAGACATCTTCTTAGAGTTAACATTAAGCTCGTCAGATTTTTCAGGGGTTGACCTTCTACCAGGAAAGTCGCCTACTGATCTAGAATATGCCGATGACATAGTCCTATTCGGTGAAGACGCTGACAAAATGCAGAGTCTTCTGACCACCCTAAGCAACAATGCAAGCATGTTCGGGATGCGGTTCTCACCCTCGAAATGCAACATGCTGCTTCAAGACTGGGTTGCATCGGCACCTGAACTAGTGATAGGGAGTGGAGTAGTCGAGCGTAACGATCACTTCACTTATCTGGGGAGTCTCATCAGCGTTGATAGCTTGGTGACTGACGAAATCTCATGTCGGATACAGAACGCTCGATTGGCCTTTGCCAACCTGCGTCACTTATGGGGTAGGCGTGATATCCTAATCTTCTGGATTCGTTAGTACCTCTACCTTTGTCTTTCTAACCTTATCTCGCTGAATTTCACTTCTTGTATAATATCTTCGAACCCTAGTCTTCTTCATTACCATTAATACCTCTACTATCTTTATCACTGTGGGATTTGATGTGACGTTTGCGTCTCTGTGCTCATGTGGTATGGCAACATGAACTTATGTACATGTTCTACGTTGAAGCTGACTGACTGAATGGAGCCAGTCTAAGAGCGCTGGTTTTGTCCTAGGACTTAATGCTATGCCTACACCAGCGAGGATACGGGAAAAGGTGTAATCAAACTAATGATTGTACTAGGACGCTGTGTGCGTTTCGGAGAAGCAGCGTACATCGATAGCACGAGATTCCAGAGTTCTAGCCAAGGAAGCGTGTTGCCATATTTGGCGAAAGGTTCGAAAATTAAAAGCTCCAACATGTAGTTTAGAGAGTGGTTTCAGGAGACCAGAAATAATGTTTCGCGAACTCCGAACTTTCGCATCAGTGACGCGAGGCGGAAAAGGGATAAGAGAATTAGTTATGGAGGTAAGAGAGGTGTAGAAAGGATTTGATTGGTCCCAATTTAGTCTCGCGTGTCGTTACGGCTATGAGGGCGGATGTAACTTCCCTGCTGATAACACCGTGAAATGGTGCTCCTACTTAAGGGGACTAATAGGGAAGCTGGACTAGTGTTCGTGTTAGACACCTGGGAGTATGACCGCAGAGCCCAAAGGACAACAGCTTGTGACCGGTATGTTTATGTGAAGTTTCTAAAGTGTTAGCTCCGCTCTTCAAAAAGCATTACCGCCGTAGTTTGAAATCCGTTGCGTTAGGTGTTGTGTGACATTTCTAGGGTCGACCTTTTTTAACCCCTTACTTCTGTTGTGATAAGGAGTTGCTGCAGATGCTGGCTGTCTGAGGGAAACAAATTAGTGCTGTTACACTCCTCTGCAGTCAGCATAACGACTTAGCCCTCAGACCGTTCTCCAAACGACCTGCTTGGCATGGTAGCACCTATAAGAACATATGTTCCGGCCAATATGGCTCGGTTGAGTCATCAAGATAGACAAGCCTGACCATCACTTCAAGGTCGCAGCTACGGTCCAGAGTTGCCAATCTATCTTGCAGGAAAATCACAAAAGACATGGTTATTATCGTTTATTTAACATTAAATAAAAATTTTCAAAGTTAAGCAACTAGTGGAAAAAGGTGTTTTAATAAAAACAGTATGAAGAAGAAATACTTACTTCTGGTAAATCACGCATGCCTAATTGATAGACAAAAAATGTTCTTGTCAGGAGATTGCTAATCTATAGATATGATGTTTTAAGAATAAACAAAAATAAAAATATTAAAAGTTCTCGAGTTTTAGAGTGGCGAACACTTTTATAAGAAAGTTGCAATAAGCGAAAAGTAATTTGTAGTATGAACAAATAATTGAAGAGCTGAAAATCTAAGAGCATTTGTCGAACAAGCATTATCATGCTTTGAATTGCAGCTTCCCAGAGTGAAACACAATCAAACAAGTAATTTCTAATGTTTACAGATTTTATCAATAAGTAGTTGGTTTTCAACAGATATAGGAAAAAGTGGAGTAAGAACAATTCGGTCTCGTGTAATGTTACGGGTATGAGGGCTGATGTAACATCCCGGCTGCCAACAACGCGGAGTGCTGTTCCTACTTAAGGTGTTCGTGTTAGATACCTATTAGTGTGACCGCAGAGCACGTTGGACGACTGCTTGTGACCGACTAAGCACAGCCTTATTATTAGGTCCGTTTTTAGTTACCCCACGTAGAAACAGCATTACGCGGAGTGAGCAGCAAGAAAGTTGCATCCGCCCACATACCCGTAACAGCATACGGGATCAAATCGGTCCTAAAAACTCCTTCCTGCATCCAATAACACCTCTAATATCTCCACGACTAACTCTTCTCACATTCCTTTGTAACTCCGCACAGCTAATGCAAACGATTCGAGTACGCGAATCGTTATTCCTGGTCTCATGAAACCCGGACCTGAAATATAATACAGGCTTATCAAAGAAACAGAAATTAGTGAGACCATCTCAGAAAAGAATTGTTGCATCATTCATTCTCAGTCCAGAAGACTGGATAGATGGGCAGAACACTTTCAGAATCGTTTCAACTGGTCTTCAGCAACACTTCGGTTGCCCACGATCTCCAGTCATCCTGAATGGCAAATCGATGTAAGTTGTCCGACTGTTTATGAAGTCGAAAAAGCTATAGGAAATCTAAAGCGACCTGAAAATTTTAAGGACTGTGGTCTAGTTTTAACAGTTAGATTGACTGAGATCTTAGGTAGAATCTGGGAACTAGGCGTAAACCCATCTGACTGAACTAAATCACTGATAATCTCTGTCTCTGACAAAGGCCTGAAGTTCTTTTTTGCACCTTGTGAATCTGTCAACTGTAAGGTTCTGTGTCAGTATCTGTCATCGATAGCTGTACCAAGGAACTACATTAACTTTATTCAGGCTCTCTAATCGAACATGACTAACCAAAGGACGAGTCTAGTGCGCAGTAGTAGTAGATTGACTGAAATCTTAGGTAGAATCTAAGAGCTGGACACAATCCCATCCGACTGGTCTCAATCCTTCATTGTCCCAATTTATAAGAAAGCACAAAAGTCTTCTTGTGACAATCACAAAGCAATCAGTCTAACTAATATAGTTTCTAAACTGTTAGCCTCCATTATACTTAGACGTTTAACCAAAGCTCGTGAAAAGCAGACTCGAGAAAACCAATCTGGTTTTCGACCTGGACGTGGTTGTATAGACCACATCTTCACACTACGACAGGTCCTGGAACACAGACACACATTTAGACGTCCGACAATAATTGTCTTCCTGAACCTAAAGGCGGCATTTGAATCAGTGGATAGTGAGGTTCTGTGGCAGTGTCTGTCATTGAAAGATGTACCGAAGAAGTACATAAACCTTATACAGGCTCTCTACTCGAACACCACTGGTCGAGTGAGAGCTTATGGCGAACTGTCATCGGAATTCCTCACTTCAAGTGGTGTTCGTCAATGATATCCACTCTCTCCATTCTTATTTAATCTTGTCATAGACATGCTCCTAGATATAACATTATCTCCGTCCGACTTTTCAGGAGTCGACTTTCTACCAGGAATATCGCTTACTGACTTAGAATATGCCGATGACATAGTCCTATTTGGTAAAGACGCTGACAAAATGCAGAGTCTTCTGACTACCCTAAGCAACAATGCAAGCATGTTCGGGATGCGGTTTTCCCCCTCGAAATGCAGAATGTTGCTTCAAGATTAGTTGCGACGGCACCTGAACTAGTGATGGGGAGTGAGGTATTTGAGAGTGTTGACTGCTTCACTTATTTCGGAAGTCTCAGCAGTGCAGATGGCCTGGTAACGGACGAAATTCAGCGCGAATTCAGAAGGCTCGATCGGCTTTCGCCAATTTGCGTCACTTATAGCGTAGACGAGATATCCATTTGCTAACCAAGGGACGAGTCTAGTGCGCAGAAGTTCGCTCCGTTCTCCCATATGGATGCGAAACATCGCCGGCTGGAGTAGAAGATATTTTTAGGTTATTAGTATTCGATTACAGAGGTCTTCGAAGCATTGCTTGTGTATCTTGGGACCACCAAATAACCTATGTTAGTGTTAGGACTACTGTCCTTATTTAGAAACTTGGACAATCAGTGATTGAGATCAGTCAGATGGGTTTACGCCTAGTTCCCAGATTCTACCTAAGATCTCAGTCAATCTAACTGTTAAAACTAGACCACAGTCCTTAAAATTTTCAGGGTTAAGCCTGTCAGGCTCTGCTGCTCTACCTCGCTTTAGATTTCCTATAGCTTTTTCAACTTCATAAACAGTCGGACAACTTACATCGATTTGCCATTCAGGATGACTGGAGATCGTGGGCAACCGAAGTGTTGCTGAAGACCAGTTGAAATGATTCTGGAAGTGTTCTGCTGATCGATTCAATCTCCTGGATCGAAAGTGAGTTATAGTACCATCTTTTTTCGAGGGAGTCTGATTTACAATCATATTCGTGATACCAGTTTGTTTGATATGTCTGAACAGTTGCCTTCTACTATGGACCATAGCTGCTGTCATTTAAATGCCCAGTTATTGCACCTTTCTACAGTCGCTGCGCCTGTGAATCTCGATTTCTTTGGATCATGCTCGGATATTTCAACATGTTTTCTTATTCCTGTTGTAATTTTAAATCCTTCTGTCGTCAGTGTCAGTTGCTTAAAATTAGTGAATACTTCAGTTTTATAATTAATTAAGTAGATGGTTGTACGCAGCTGATGATAAACCACGAAATATCATGAATATATATTATTCTGTCTGAATTGTTATTCTGGCCTTATATAAATAATGATTGTCAGAGTTCATTAAAACAATTATTGTCTTTTAATAATTCTATGACTCAACCGTATGGTACTGAGGCTGAAAGCAATAGCATTTATTGTTGTTGCCTATTTCAGAGTAATTTATTCTTTCCATCACATATCGATCAGTTCAGTCACACTATTTCTATCCAACTAAAAGCAAATGAACTATTTAAATATATAACTCAGTTGACAATGACAAATAGTTGACAGTAAAATTTTAACTAAAATAATGTTTCTATTAGTGGTACAAGTTAAAGATTTGTCAGCCCACAATATGTGGTTTATTTTAAAACTACTAGTGATAAGGAAATTCGGTTGACAAAGATAGTTTTAAAGAAAACCAAAGAATGGAAATTTTAACTAAACTGTTAATACTGTGTAATGGGACTGGGAGGATAAGATGTTTTATTTCTTTCTACGAAGAATCAGTTGCTTCCAAATGATACTTCACATTTTTGCTAACTAATTCATATGACAAAGGTACTCTCAAAACAATTTTTGAACTATATTAACTCTGAAAATTTAAAATCACATACGTTTTCTACATGTAACACTACTTCTGTATTAACTTGATCATGCATATAATAAACTAAACGTATTATATATAATTATTTTTAGAATATCTGTTTATTTATTGGTTTAAATGAATTAAACAACGATAAATATTAAAATATTAATCACTAAACTAACTTGTAAAGCTAATGCAACTTGATACATGTGTGACTTCGGGCATATATATCGTAGTTCATCATGAATACTAATACATAAACGTGCAGGGATTTTAAATTTATTGATAAGCCAACGCATCAAAACAAGCATGCAATGTAAATAATCAACAGCAGAACTTTGCACGACCCAGTTTACACGACTTGGTAAAAACTATAACAGGCAAAAACAAATATACAATCAAGAAATTCGAAAGGCTAATGAGTATTAAAAAATGAATTCAATGCTTGTTACTTCACATTGGGCAGCTAGATAGTATGAAAAAGTCTAAAACATGATAGATGATTTCAGTAGGAAAAACAACATAAATACAAGCTCATTTTGATAAATAGTTACTGAACTTGATTCAACTTGTAAGTCAACTTTTACAAATTAATGTCATTACTGTCTTTTCCAAACCAAATAGCATTACATCTGTGTAGCAATACCGAACTACATAGATATGTATTACTTATTGTAACGTAAAATATTAGTGAAATCTATGTGATCGAATAGATGTGGTAATCGATAGTTAAAGACTTTAAATGACATGGCTCAAAATAGTTTTCAATGGTCCAGATGCATCCATTCTTTGTCTTTTCTCAAATTTTAATCTCCTGAATTCCTCATGACTTTTTTTCTACTTTTAAATTTACTTTGCTGAGTTAAATTCCTGGAATTGTATATTCGACCCCTAATCTTCTTCATTACGTAAAATACTTCAACTACCTCTACTACTATAGTAGTTGAATTGAAAATAGCATCTATTGGTGCTAATGTGATATGGCAACTTGAACTGATGAACATACGTACCAAGTTCTACGTTGTAGGTGATAACAGTATATCACCAATCTAACAAGAAGGATAAAGATCATGTTTCTAAAGGTCAAATTTTTAGATTCTTATATCTTGTAAAGAACAAAAAAGTACGAGATAAGAAGACGATTATTGGTAACTGACAAACGTTTTTATACTCTTCTTATAACAATTCTATTTAGTAATAAAATACATTAATTCCGCCAGTAGAACCTTCGGGGTTACTGCCGGTCCCAAGCCCGGGTAAAGCAGGAGGGTTGGACATGGGGTTGGCGACCACATTCCGTCGAAATCTTACTTGCCAAAAAAACGCTACCCAGAAAAAATAATTCAAACCATTTTAACTCTGCCCTGGGAGTTGGAAGAAGAATTATGACGTCGCGTGATGAAAGCCGAGTTCCTTCGGAAGTCACGGGGCCGATGCCTCTTCTGACAACCAGAGCAACCATTCTTTTAGGTACATGGGACGTTCGTACATTGTGGGAGAGCTACCAAACCCATCACTCGGAAGATCCAAGTGTTTATTAACAGCTGTCTATGCAAAATACTTCGGATTCATTGGCCAGACACCATCAGAAACAACGTACTGTGGGAGAGAACAAACCAGATTACAGTGGAGGGGGAAATCAGGAAGAAGCGGTAGAAGTGGATAGGACACACACTACGAAAAGCACCTAACTGCCTCACGAGACAAGCCCTCACATGGAACCCTCAAGGCAAAAGGAAAAGAGGAAGACCAAGGAACACATTACGCCGAGAAATAGAGAAAGACATGAGAGGAATGAACAAACATTGGACAGAAGTGGAGAGGGAAGCCCAGGACAAAGTTGGTTGGAGAAGACTGGTGGGCGGCCTATGCTTCATTGGGGGTAATAAGGGTAAGTAAGTAAGTAAGGAATAAAATACATTATAAACATGTCATTTCCAAACAATTAAAAATTCCTAAACACTGACATCATCTTTAACGAGTTTTGGATTCAATGCACGAGTAAGTTGTGCATTCAAAAATGGTGTACGAGGCTCTGGACTACGAGCGATTGATTCCAACTGATTGAAGACAGCTGATTCACTACCACCTTGCCATTTAGACGAAGATAATGACGGATCATCTACAGAAGAAGAACAATCTACAATAGTTCGTCGTCCTTTAGTAATTTGAAAAAGTTGTTTTGCTTTTAAACTGGCTTGTTCTGGCTAAAACGGTTGGAAAGTAAGAAAGAAAATAGAAATGTAACAGCTCATATAAACGAATATTATAAAACAGTTTATACAATTGGACGTCAAAAGGGTCGTTGTACAAACGAAATGATAATATTATGAAGCAATAAAAAAGAGAATATCAATATGGTCAGTAGTTAAATGAATAAAACCAATATTTATTTAAAAAAAAAACATTTTAGTTAAAAATACAACTAGGATAAATTTGTGTTAGTTGAAATGGTTCATTTTACTTTATGAAATATGTAGTAGAACACTACAACAGAATCGTTGCCACCAACTTCTTGCTTGAATAGTATCAAATAGTGTATCAAGTCACACTGAGTTCTATAATATTAGAACCGTGGATCAGGGAGTCGGTGTGTGAACGTATGGCAGTCCCATACATTTATCCTCGACAACACAGAGTAATTTCATAAAATGATCACCTTATTTTTGTGACATATTACTCGCATCCGCGAATAATGCACAAAACAAGCTGCTGGAACGATCATCATAAAATATGTCGAAGCCATTGGTGTTGAGAAATAGTGAATTATCATCAATATACCTGAACACACAAACTCATGGACGTTCTATTCATAAGTGTGCTGTAGTTGTTAGATGTAAACTATGGTTCTAAGCCGGTTGAACAGAACGATGGAATATGTCCGGCGCCAAATGATCAAATTTAACAAGAACAGTACAGTATTATTACAGCCATCCATCCGGATGCACAATAGGATTGGAACAAAGTATGAATCCAGGAAGACTGACCCCCGTTTTATATAAATTACGCATATGTCAAGCGAGATTGTATCTGCAGTACTAGCGGATATAATAAATTAAACGCAAATACGTCAATTACTCAGTCACAATGTAGAACTTGGTACGTATGTACATCAGTTCAAGTTGCCATATCACATTAGCATAAACAGATGCTAATGACGTAATGGAGAAGATTAGGGGTCGAATAAACAATTCCAGGAATATAACTCAGCAAAATAAATTTAAAAGTAGAAAACAGTTATGAGGAATTCAGGAGATTAAAATTTGAGAAAAGACAAAGAATGGATGCACCTGGACCATTGAAAACTATTTTGAGCCATGTCATTCAAAGTGTCTAACCACCGGTTACGGTTATGGCTCGGTCCAATTATCAATGACTTCGTCGACTTGTGTCATGTTTTAGTTTAGCTGCCCATAGGTTTCTTACAGCCTACTCCTGCATCAAACAACATCGCTTGTGAAGGTAGTCAGTGGTTAGGCATACGTAACACACGTCCCAGCCATCTCAACTGATGAAGATTCATTACTTCATTGATTCATTTGCCATTCCTACGTAATATCTGTTTCCAAATGATAGCATTATTCATTCGATAGTCTAAGGATGTACGAAAAATGCTTCGAAGACACCTAAAATCCAACACTAGTAACTTAGGAATATCCTCTATTCTTAATTTTCATGTTTCACACCCGTATATCAGAACGGAGCGAAATGATACACAGTAGAATTTTCCTTTGGTTGATAAACGGATATCTCGCCTACGCCATGAATGACACTAGTTGACCAAAGTTAATCGCGCCGGTGTGCTAGGGTTTCGTCAGACATTAGCCTGATAAAACTCCAAACATATGTGGAGTGGTCAGCGCACTCAACTACTTCACTCGCTATCACTAATTCAAGTTCCGACGAAACGCAATACTGAAGAAGTATTTGCATCTATAGGAAGAGAACCGCCGACGCAAGCCCATTTCGAAACATTTAGCATTTCGCGGGAAAGAACTGCATTTCGAACATGCTTGCATTGCTGCTTAAGGTTGTCAGAAGACTGCATTTTGTCAGCGTCTTCACCAAGTAAAACTACGTTGACAAGTGAATCTCTTGGCAGTAGGTTAACCCTTGAGGATTTAGACGGTGGAAGTGACAATTGTAAAATAAGTCTGTGAGAAAGTAAAATTTGGATGGAGAAAGTAGACAATCCTGACGGACACCATTCGAGGGAATTGATTCCGATGACATTTATCCATAATCTCTCACTCGATCAGTAGTGTAGAGAGCCTGTACACGGTTAATGTACTACTTCTTTGGTACACCTTTCAATGATAGATATTGTCAAAGAACCTCCTGATCAACAGAGTCAAAGGCCGCCTTAAAGTCGAGGAATACAACTATTGTTGGACATCGAAATGCGTGTGTGTTCTAGGACCTGGCAAGTGTGAATATAAACGCAAAAAACGAAAGCAACTGGTTGAATGTTTATTGTAAAAGGCGTATAGTTGCAAGAAATGAAATAGAACAGAGAGAAATCACAGTTTCAGTCATTTGAACACTATTCTTAACACTGAAATCGGAAGCATCATTCAAATTCATCGGTGATAAAAAAACACGCTATAAAAGATAAACATTGAACTCACAGTAATATTGCAAAATTTTGCCAACAAATGGGATGCAAATTCAATGCCTGAACCATATAATCTAGAATAATTCAGAATTTTAGATTCACTTCGCTTAATACCCATTTCTTTGGCTATTTTCGTGTGTAAATCAGTCCCATCGAGTTTATTACCTTGTAATGTCATCCAACCATAAGGAGTTGAACCTAATAAGAAAGTTGACGTAAATCAGAGACATACACACAAGATGACGATATTAAGAAGAAGAAATGTTTAAAGTAAACATTTCAAATGTTTGTTTATGTATTCGTTTACATGATCTGTCTCTTCTTATAAAAACAACTAAAACGATAAACAGCATATGAATAATACTAGGATATTATTATTATTTAAGCGTTTATGACAATTACCTTAAGCAGGGATTAAATTATTTAGCCATATGGAAAATAAGGATTGATTATTCATTTTTAAGTAACTTGACAAAGTATCAACCATAATAGGTTTCATAACTAACTCCTGAATTGAAAAAAGACAATTGACTTAGAAGCAGCTGTTTGTAATATAACTATGGAAGTGACATAACAGTTACAGAATTAAAGTTTCGGTCACTGTCTCTCAGGTTAGAAAACCAATCCATCCATTTCATTCGGGCAATCAAGTGAGTAAGTGTCATAAGCTTCCAAATGTATAGTGCGGATCATACTCAATTTCTCAGTGAGCGAGTTAACTCTGTTAGACTAAAATCAGGACTTAGTCAGTCAGTTAAAACGTAGAACTTCAAACGTATATACATCAGTTCACGTTACCATACTACACCATCACAGAAACACAATTGTCAGTTCAAAACCCACAGTGGAAGCGATAGTAGAAATATTAGCAGTAATGGAGAAGATTAGGAAGCGAAGATATGATTCGAGAAGAATAATTCGGTGAGATAACTTAAGAAAGAAAAAAATAGAAATGATGACGAATTAAGATCGAAATTTCATGGGACACGACGAGTGAATGAACCTATGCCATTGCAAACGATTCTGAGCCATGTCATTCTAGGTCTCCAACCAGCGGTGACTTGCGTCTCACGAAACTCAGACAAGTAGCCTACATCTACCAACATGATTCAGTCCACTTGTCAGTGAATTCATGCATTTCTGCCATGTTTTGGTTTGGCCGCCCTTAGCTTTCTTCTAACCTACTCCTACACCGCAAAACAAAGCTCGACTAGGCAGTAGGTGGTTGGGCATTCGTAACACATGTCCCAACCACCCCAACTGATGAACATTCACTACTTCATCTACTGATCTGCCATACTTACCCTATACCCGTTTTCTAACATCATCGCTTGATTGGTTTTCCCAGGAGATACGAGCAATGTTTTGAAGATTACTATGATCGAAAACCAGTTATCTACGAATATTTTCAACTCCGCAACAACGTACTGTAGGAGAGAACAAACCAGATTACAGTGGAGGGGGAATTCAGGAAGAAGCGGTGGAAGTGGATAGGACACACACTACGAAAAGCACCTATCTGTGTCACAAGACAAGCCCTTACATGAAACCCTCAAGGCAAAAGGAAAAGAGGAAGACCAAGGAACACATTACGCCGAGAAATAGAGGAAAATATGAGAGGAATGAAGAAAAATTGGACAGAACTGGAGAGGGAAGCCCAGGACAGAGTTGGTTGGAGAAAACTGGTGGGTGGCCTATGCTCCATTGGGGGTAACAGGCGCAAGTAAGTAGTATGAATATTTTCTACTCTTACTGGCCGTGTTTCGCGTACGTATAGCAGAACTTAGCGGACTGCTGCCCGGTAGACTCACCCTTTGGTTAGCAAACGGATCTCTCGCCTACGCCATAGGTGACGCAAGTTGGCAAAAGCTAACCGAGCCTCTTGTGTCCGTGTTGAAATTTTGTCAGTCATCAGTCCATCAGCACTGATGAGACTCCCGAGATAAGCGGAGCGATTGACACGCTCAACTGCCTGGTTCCCTATCAATATTGGTGACGAATATATCGGAAGAATGAACAGCCGTTTGTAATAGCTGGAAATGAAGGCCCAGGACAGAGAATGTTGGACCTATGCGCCGTCGGCGTCGACAGACGTAAGTTACAGAACTTAAATAGTACAATGTTCCCGTTTCGTTTAAAAAGTAGAATAATAATGACAATGTACCATCACGAATAGTTAAGATTATTATCATACTAGTAAACTTTGGGTTGAATAAAATCATAATGCTAATGGCATTATCATACTGATAAGGCATAAAAAACTCGGGGAAAATGATAATAATGATCACCTTGAAAGCCAACACTTGCATCACCAATTAAAGCAGCAATCCACATTTCTTGTGAATCAACATCAGCACCAACGAATACATAGCCAGGAGGTGATTGAACCATAGCTTTGATTTCACTCCCTAATCGGTTTTCATCAGCATTACTAGCAGTTAACCATAATGGTTCGACAGCTCTTCTAGACACTGTACCAGAGGTTATAACTTGAGGTAGAATAGCGCCATATTTTGCTTTAGAATTATACAACTGATCACTAGAATGATAAATAATTTGCAGATATATGATAGAATTAAAGTGTAATTGACAGCATGAACATATTTCACAATAGAAAACTATCATAAACTAGCAATGAAAAGTTGTTATAGAACAATCATATGTATTATGCATGTGATGTGTGACAGTGAGTGTAAATGTGACTGGTCATTGAGTGTGGAAAAACAAACATTGAACCTGCGAACTATTAAATATGTGATTTCCTTTCCTCTTATTGATTTCTACTCTGAGTGACAATTTGTAATGATGTGCATTAAGGTATTGTATATCTCTTACTCTGATTCTATTTTTCTCGTGATTCGGAAATCTGATATAACGTGATCTAATCTCTTCTGTATAATGTATTGTCCGAGTACCTAATCCAGAGGTAGTATGAACTCGGTCACCCAACTCAGTGAAATTTTATTGTATTATCGTATTATCATAGCACATCGCCGAAGAAATATTTCACTATATCCGTAATAACAGTATGGTATATCACTCATATAATGAAGTAACTAATTACAGATAATAATGAAAATTCTGTAATACGATTTCCCTATTAGTAAATAAGTAGCATATAGAAATTAAATAAATTAGAAAAGAGAAAATAACGCTTACTTTAAAATCCTATCCGGTAGTTGATTGTGTGGTAACCAAATAGCCATTTGAGATCTGTAAAGTGATTTGCAGAAAAATCATAATTTCTTCAGCCATGAAAATGTTTATAATTTTAAAGTGCAAATAATTATAATCCGTTTACATTGTAGAATATCACAAGAGGGTCAATAAATTAGCGGTCATAGTACATTTCTCTCAACTAATAGGTCATCAGTTTTTGAATGTTGCATCACATACTTTTAAGATTTGGGTAACTAGGTAAGCATTTACAAAAAATCGTATGACTCAACAATGTCTGTTACTTTACATATGTACTCGGTTAAAGAGGTGAGTTTTTATTTTGTAGATTAAAGGCATTCAATCTTTTAATACTTGGTAATAGTAAAAAGTTTGCAGTTAGTTAGTTATATGAATCGTATAACCTACTACACGTTCATCGCCAATTATTAATGACTTCGTCGACTTGTGTCATGTTTTGGTTTAGCTGCCCTTAGGTTTCTTCCAGCCTACTCCTACATCAAACAACAAGCACAGTGTTTCAACGATCATAATACAATAGAATTCAAGGAGAAGTTAGGAATGTAGAAAAAGCTTGACATTCAACATAGAAATATTATATTAGAAAAGCCCTGCATGTGTAGCTTCTATAGAAAATCACTAGTTATCTAGATTTCGTCATTAAATGTTAGGTTTTTTCTGTTGTGATTATTCCGAAAATATTTTCCCTAATGTGTATTCTCTCTCATGTCTCCTTCTGTTTTCTGACTAGTTTATTACTCATCTTAATTTGCTGATTCTTTTTGTTTCAAGGTCAGGTTTCATGATGATATATATATATACACGGAATTGGTCCACTTCAATTTATTTTCGTTAATATAATGTTTTCTTCCGAATTCTAGATGGTATTGATGGGGATTATTGTCAAAGTTCTGTGTTTGTTTGTCGATCTTTTATTCAGTTTGCGAAAGATTCCATTCGTATCAGAATAATGTGGATTGTTTGTAATGACCAATTACCGTAGGTTGAACCGAACAAAAATAACAAGATATAAAAGTTGCAGTAAATAATGACTTTAGGACACAAGGAGATGAACAAGTTAAAAGCGTTAACAACTATTCAGAAAACATCAAAGATAGTACAAAAATATAAGAAAATTCAGTTATTGTGGTAAGAACAAAATTACATTTGTTGATTAAAACTACATAATTTGAGGTCCCCTTGGTGAAAAACCTCTAAAAAATTTCCTTGTTTTTGTTCTGTTGAATTTAAAACTGAAACATCAATTGCCTCTGCATAATGAGATGGTATTTGAGTAAAAATACTTGTTTACCTAATGGATTTGCAAATAGCGATGTTGAGAAGTACAATTACTAGGAAAATGATGAAAGAATACAAAATGTCTACCCAAACGAAGGATAAGTTACCTGAGTTGGCCTCCTCTATGTGCATTCACAAATTCAGCTGCTCCTGTGGAGATAGCTATATCCGGTGTACTTCCAGGCAACTTACCCAACGAATGAGTGAACATCTCCCAGCATGGTTTACAAAGCGTCAGTCAAAAACAATACGCAGTTCTATCTTAGCACACCTGGTAGACAGTGGTCACATTGTAGATAAATCTAGATCTTTTCGGGTGATCTATCGTATACCCCCATCATTTCCCTATGGAGTTCGATCTCGCCTCCTACACAGAGCAGAAGCTAAAGGAATACGTACATTCCACCCCAATTTATGTATTCAGAAGAAATTCGTGACACCCTATCTCTTCCGTGGCCGGATATGACGTAACTAACGATCGACATTATTTTTTATTTTTTTATGTTTTTGGTTCAAATTTTATTTTGTTATTTTCTTATTATTAGCATTATTTTCACATCCTGTATTTGTTGGTAATTCTCTGCCTCTTTTCCCGACCGTAGCAGCTACCTTGACGTGGTGGTCGGGCTTGCCTATCGTGATCACCCAACCGAGCTATATTGGCTGGAACATATGTTCCTCAAGGTTCTACCATGCCAGACAGGTCGATTGGAGAACGATGAGACTAAAAGCAGCTACTCGAGGTCTGAAGGCGAAGTCTAACTGCTGACTGATTGCAGAGGGGTGTGACAGCAGTAAGGTGTTTCCCTCGGACAACCAGCATCTGCAAAGATGCTGCCTTCTCACAAGGAAGGAAGGGTTAGAAAACGTCGACCCTAAAAATGTCACACCTCCCCTAACTCACGGATTTCTGTCTCCGGCGGTAAGGGTGCCCACTAAGGGCCTTTAAGAGAGGAGCTAATTCTCAAAATACCTTTCATAAAAAAGCCGTGCGTGACCGGCCTCAAGCAGTTGTCCCTTGGACTCTGCGTTCACGCTCCCAGGTCTCTAAGACCAACAGTAATCTATCTTCCTTTTCAGGTCCCTCAAGAAACAACCTTCCACGGTATGGGCAGCCGGGAAGTGACAACCGCCTCATACCCGTAACAGCACACGAGACCAATCTGGTCGAAATCAAATCCTTCCTACACCCCCTAGTACCTCTCTTATCTCCACGACTAACTCTTCTCACATTCATTTATCACAGTGCACAGCTAATGCAGACGACACTGGTTCGCGAAACGCCGTTCCTGGTCTCCTTAAACGCCGCTCTAGACTACATGTTGGAGCATTAGCTAGGACTTTAGAATCTCGCTCAATCGATGTATGCTGCATCTCCGAAACGCGCATACAGGATCCTAGTAAAATCATTAATCTGATTTCACCTTGTCAAAATAAAGAAGCAGCTCGATTTACTCTTCGTGTATCCGGTAGCCCTGATGCTGCTTCCAGGGGTCTCGCTGGCGTAGGCATAGCATTGAGTCGTAGAGCTGAACAATCTCTCCTAGACTGGATCACGGTAGATAGTTGCTTGTGCGTTTTCCGACTAAATGGAACAGTAAGGACTCGGAAAGATAGGGACAATCGACGTTGACGTATCTGCCTATGCCCCCACTGACTGCAGTTCAGACGAGGTTAAAGATGAGTTTTACAGAAAGCTTTCGGACCTCCTCCAAAATGTTAGGCGCTCTGATATAGTATTAATGGCTGGTGACTTCAATGCTCAAGGAGGTAGACTGAGTGAAAATGAAAGACACCTAGGTGGATGTTATGGTGTCGCAGCTCAGAGAACAGACAATGGTAACCGTCTGTTGAAAGTATGCTCAGACAACCGCCTATTCTTAGCAAACACTAACTTTAGGCATAAGGAAAAGCATCTGGCGACCTCCAAAGTCGTCTCAACGTTGGACCCAACTAGATTACATTGCCATCAGCCACCGATGGAGGGATTCGATAAACGATTGTCGCTCGTTCTGGGGCACATGTTTAGATTCAGATCATGTCCTAGTGCGAGTGCGTATTTGTTTGAAGCTTACGGGGCATAGGAAAGACACCGTAAGAAAGCCTCTTAGGGTTTCACTTAATGATAATGAGAATATATTTCAGGAACAACTAGAAAGACAGTTAGGCGACCATTTAAGCGATTCCAATCCGGAGGCAGGTTGGAATGATATCAAGAAGGCTGTGGAAACAGCAGTGATATCAGCTAGTAAGGTTGACCATAAGGCTGGAATGAAGCCGTGAATCTCAGTATCATCCACCGATCTGATGGATGACCGAAAACGCATCACACCTGGCTCTGAACATGATGGAAAAGGCAGCGGCGATAGGCAACAGTAGACAACTTTTCCGACTTATCAAGGAAACTGGTATTAGGAATCCTAGTGTAAGTGAGACTATCTCAGAAAATGACGGGACTATTATTTATGCTCAATCCAGGATACTTTTCAAATTTATCAAAAGGTGTACAAACTTAATTACAAAACAAATAAGCATTTTACCATAATATCATTCGAAATATTAGGTTTACAATAAAACATTACTTAATACGTTTTGAATAACTTTGCCAAAATGTAGCATGAACACGATCATGAAGCAAACGATCAGCTAATCCCATAACTGGTTTTGATTTCATTGTTTCAGTATTCACTGAAGTTGTACTAGTAGGATTAAAATCTGCACTGTGCAAACGATGGGATGCAATATGACTTTGAAATGAACGAGAAAGTGGCGAGCCGACTGGAAGTCCAGTACCTGACTAAAATATTAACACACACACACACACACATCAATAAGTAAATTTATAGTATTAAGCACAAGCAAAAAAAGCGAAATATTCTACCAAAACGGTATTTTACAAAGTGAAAATAATAGATAGAAGAAAAAAACATTACGGAACTTATTTCAAAATAGTCAGTTTAGCCATTGAACTTAAGAATAGTGGTCACATTTCATGTTAAATTTGTAAAATTTAGGTCAATTTACTTGGACGACAAATTTTTCCAGATGTTTTGAAAGGTTGTATATAGTAACAACCTATCGTAACAAATATTTCATAAGCGCAAATGCAATAACATTACTTGCTTTATTCAATACCAGTCTAGGAGTGTTCTCTAAAATAAAAATAAAAAATACTAAAACTATACAAACCACAAAAATTCATAATAACAGTATCCCTTCTACGCACGATATTTGATGTGAAAAACACTCCGCACCATTTGATTGCTAGATAGTTAGCTGCAATTTTAAAACCTGTAAGAAATCACACCGACGAGCACAACTCTCTCTTGATTTATTCGATTTTGCCAATTAAATTTTGAGAATTAATGTAAATTGTAGAAAAATGATCTCATTAAACGTCACTTTTCTCTTTCAAGTATTTCATTCACATAAACTTTGTTTTCATGTGATTATAGTGAAGGCAATAACGCAATCACAAAACATTATCTAAAATAACCATTTTTTCAGTGTACTCTCAATGTGCAATTCAAACTTAGCAATGATTTGTGCAAAAAAACCGATGGGGTTGCAATGGGTTCACAACTGGGCCTAACTTGACTGAGTTTTCGTAGACAATCTGAACAACACGATACTTCAACCAATAATCGGAAGATTTCGTTTAAGAGATATATAGATGCAACTTTCATTCTTTGTGAATAAGATATGAAAATCAATGAAGTATTGGATCGATTCAATAATTGCTACAACTAGATGATATCCATATTAGGATCAGAATTTCATTTTCTGAATGTACAGCCGAAACACAAGTCAGATAGTTCTTTATAAGGATATAAAAATATAGAAAACTAATCTAGGACGATCAGTAAACAAGCTCCCATAGTTGGGTCCCGTTGAACAAAAAGAAAAATTTAATTCAATTTTTATCGTCGAGGACTAAGCAAATATATTCTGACGACACAATAGATGGCGAAATATTTCAACTTCGGGCAATACTCATTAGAAATGCACCCCGAATACCCTAGTAGAGCCGAAACCGGGTAGATTTCGCCCATTCTCATAAAATGCTCTCATATGACAATGTGTATATAATCACCAACAAACAAATCCTACTGACTGGCTTCTCTTCAACAGGATTTAGGATGGAAAACAAATAGCAACAGATTGGAAAGAATATTCTTTCTAGTTTGGAAGGATACCTCATCAATATACCAAAGAAAGGCAATCACAGAAAGTATGGGAGCTACAGAGGCATCACTCTTCTCTCAATACCAGGCAAAGTCTTCAGCAGGGTATTGTTAAACAGAATGAAGGACTTCGTAGACGCCCAACTTCGAGACCCACAGACTGGATTTCATAAGCATCGACCGTGTACTGACCAAATTGCTACATTACAGATCATTGTGGAACAATCAATAGAATGGAACTCACCGCTCCACATCAACTTCATCGACTACGAGAACGCACTCGATAGCGTGGACAGGAAAACACTGTGGAGGCTTCTTGGACACTACAACATGCCAAAGAAGATAGTTACGAAATTCTTATGATGGACTGCACTACAAAATCGCGCGCGGAGGACAGCTGACAGAGTCGTTTGAAGTGAAGGCCGGTGAAAGGCAAGGCTGCTTATTCTCACCCTTTCTCTTCCCCCTAGTGGTCGACTGGATTATGAAGACATTAACATCTGGGGGGTTGTACAGGATAAAGTGGACAACTAAGACGCCGTTGGACGATTTAGATTTCGCAAATGATCTGGATCTCCAATCGCACACGCAACAACAACTTTAAAACCTTTACATATCTGGGCAGTATCTTCGACAATCAAGGTGGATCCGATGCAGATGTCAGGGCGCGGATTGGCAAAGCAAGAGCAGAATTTCCACGATTGAAACTCGAAACAACTAACAACAAACACCAGTCACAATTTTCGATACAAATGTCAATACAGGTCTACTGTATGAGGTGGAAACTTGGAAAACTACCAAAGCCATCATTCAGAAGATACAAGTATTTATTAACAGTCGTCTACGTAAAATACTTCGGATTCGTTGGTCAGACAACAACACCAACAATCTACTGTGGGAGAGAACAAACTAGATTCCAGCGGAAGAAGCTCTGGAAGTGTTTAGGACGCACACTAAGGAAAGCACGCAACTGCGTCACAAAACAAACCCTCACTTGGAGCCATCAAGATCAAAGTAAAAGAGAAAGGCCAAGAAAAACATTATGCCGAGAAATATAGAAAGACATGACAAGAATGAAGAGAAGAACAGAAAGACAGCGATCAATAACAGCCGAACGAGAGCAAAGAAAGCCGAGGCACAGGTCGAATGCACAGAAGCAAATAAGCAAGTGCAGAGAAGCATCAGAATTGACAGGCGAAAATATGTGGAAGATCTAGCAATGGTAGTAGAAAAAGCTTCAAGAGAAGCAAACATGAGACAACTATGCGATTAAACAAAGTGGAAAATCAGAACGACCAGTGAAGAACAAGAAAGGCAAAGCAATTACAGACACTGAAGAGCAGTAAAATAAGTGTGTGAAGCACCTTGAGGAACTCTTGAATAGACCGGCCCCACTAAACCCATCAGTCATCCAAGTAGCACCTACAGATCAGCCTAAAAATGTCACCCCACCTACTATGACAGAAATCAGCTTGGCCATTTGACATATAATCAGTAGCAAAGCAGCTAACAAAACAACATACCACCTGAAGCACTGAAAGCAGACATAGAAATAACCATAGACATGCTCCATGATCTCTTCAGAAAAACTAAAGACGAAGAACAAGTACCAACAGACTTGAAAGAAGGAGGACACCTCATCAGGATACGAAAGAAAGATCTGAGCAAGTGTGAGAAATACAGAGGCATCACTCTTCGCTCGATACTAGGAAAGGTTTACAAAAGAGTGTCGTTAAACAGAATGAAAGATTCAGTAGACGACCAACTTAAAGATCTGCAGACTGGATTCCGTAGGGACAGATTATGTACCGACCAAATCGCGACATTACGGATTAGTGTGGAACCCACCAGTGTACATCAAGTTCACTGACGAGAAAGCATTCAACAGTATGGACAGGTTCATACTATGCAGGCATCTTCGATACTATGGTGTGCCAGGCAAGGTTGCTTACTCTCACCCATTCTCTGTCTCTTTGTGGTCGACTGGATTGTGAGGACGTAGACATCTGCGGGGAAACGTGGCATATAGTGGACAACTCTGATGCAGCTGCACGACCTGCACTTCACACATCATCTAGCTCTTCGGTCCCACAAACAACAAAAAACATAGGGGAAGATGGCCAGTGTAGTGGCAGCCTTTGCATCAGTGGGTCTCTACATACAAAACGGGAAAAGCAAGATCCTCCGATACAATACAACATGCACCAACCAAGTCACACTTGACACAGAAGCTTTTGAAGATATGGAAACCTATTCATACCTTGGTAGCATCACTGATAAACAAGGTGGATTTGATGCACATGTAGAGACATAAAAGAGTTCTAGGAACTGAATCTCAGTGTCACAACACACAATGAAGTCATGTCAATTTGTTACAAATGCCAAGTATATCGATTTCCATGACGAAACAAAGAACTCATAGATGGAGAAATTTTTATAGGTGGTACGAAATGATTTAAAATTTCTCTTTTACTGTTTAGAAACATTGCTCAAAGACAGTTTTTATATAAAATGATAAGGATTAAGTTAAATAAAACAGTAAGGATAACAGACGGGGATCACCTCATGAGGAAGATGTTTAAACCAGCATGTCGGTATAACAGGATTCACAGTGTCCACTGCATGTCGGACTGCATTACGTCGTCGATATTTCGGAGAATAATTTGAAGAATTCTGATCAAAACGATTGGAGTTTAACCAGAAAGCAGAACCTTGAGCCTGGATTTTCAAATAATGATATTAATTCATGAGAAATAACAATACATTTTTAACATTAGGAACCGCATAATTGGATTGTCATATTTTGAAAGTCCATTTTATGGACAGCTAGTTCTAACTGATAAATCAAGTATCAAGAGGGTAGATGACAAAAAATTTTAAAAGAAACAACTAAAATAAATGTAGTTCGTAACAAAATTCATATAACAATTGTGAGTTTATATGGTTGAAGGTGATTTTCGAAAGCTGTTATTGCTTTCATGGTTGAAATCACGAACTAACCAGTGGAGTTCAATCCGAGTTAGGTAGGAGACGGACATCTGACGCAAGCAATAGATGAAGGTTGAGCAAGATCAGGAATTGACTGAAATCAGACATTACCACCACTCAGCGGTTTAGAGATTAATCGTTCGTGTGCGCGATTGTAGATCCTGGGTTCGATTACCACTTTCAGGAAGTGTAGAGACCCACATTAGAACGAAACGGCTGTCCAGTAATTCCAGGTTTCTAATAGCGGTTTGGCTTAAATCTGCTTGTGACTTTAACTACGATACTAAGTTTATATACTCGACTATCAGCCACACAGTTGGTGATACTTGCCGGTTTTTCACAGTTTGGAACCAGAAAACTACTAGTCGAAATTTATACGTTGCAACCAATAAATTATTATTGTATTTCTCACAAATTTTCACTAATGTATCATAACAGTTTAGCCAGGGAATGTAGAAAATGCATAATCTGTCATAAAAATCTTATCTTTTCTCTCAGTAAAACCTCAGTCGATTTCAGGTTTCTTGAGCTGACTGAATCTAACCTCTAATTACGTACATTTTAATGATCACCGATTTTAAGAGCTATTATATTGTAATAGATATATTGGGGTTTGAATGGAGTAACCATACAATCATAAGTGATGTTTGATAAACTCGTTTTTCAGACGATTATTATTAACAATTTTGAAACCTTACTTTTCGTAAATGGTGCTTTTCTCATGCTTTTCAGTTAGATAGAATTTATTAACGAATAAAATGTGCAATCACTTAATTTTCCAAAACGAAAAAACAAATCATCATTCTTACTAACGAAATCACTGAATGAAAATGAGTATTGAAAAATTGATGAACAATTTCGACAAGTAAACCTGTACAGATTTCGCTCATTAAATTCGAATGACTTGAAATTCGTACGTAATTACATCAGTTCATGGTGCCGTACTAAGAAGACTGCTGAGGCAGGCGAGGAAGATTGTACTGTGCAAATTTACACTCTGAGTCAGTTAATAACGAAAACATTACATTGAATACTCTATTTGCACACCATCTTTGAGTCGTGGCTTACAATGCTCCATCCTTCTTCCATTCCTGTTGTTGCTTCCTTTCCTTCCTGTTGGTACTCCATTTACTTCTTGCTTCTGCTCCATTTGCTTTCCGTTTTCCGCTTCTGACCGTGAGACTTCTTTCACGTCCCTTAAGTTAGTGTTTGCTAGAAATAGGCGGTTGTCTGAGCATACTTTCAACAGACGGTTACCATTGTCTGTTCTCTGAGCTGCGACACCATAACATCCACCTAGGTGTCTCTCCTGCTCACTTAGTCTACCTACTTGAGCATCGAAGTCACCAGCCATTATAACTATATCAGAACGCCTAGCTTTTTGGAGGATGTCCGAAAGTTTTCTGTAAATCTCATCTTTCACCTCGTCTCAACTGCAGTCAGTGGGGGCGTAGGCTGATATAACGAAGAGGCACCGACGAGTGCCCTATCCTTTCGAATCCTTACTGTCCCGTTTAGTCGGACGGCACACAAGCGACTATCTACAGGGATCCAGTCTAGGAGAGATTGTTCTGCCCTAGGACTCAATGATATACCTACACCAGCCAGTCCCCGGGAAGCAGCATCAGGGCTACCAGATACACGAAGAGTAAATCGAGTTGCCTTATTATCTTGACATGGTGAGGTCAAGTGAATGATGCTACTCGGATCCTGTATGCGGGTTTCCGAGATACAGCACACATCAATTGAGCGACATTCTTAAGTCCTAGCCAATGAAGCCTGTTGCCCTATTTGACACAATGTCCGTACATTAAATGCTCCAACATACAATCTAGAACGGGGTTTCAGGAGGCCAGGAATAACGTTTTGAGGACTCGAATCGTTTGCAGCAGAGGTGCGGGGAGATAAAAGAATGTGAGAAGAGTTAGTATTAAAGATAAGGGGGATGTTAGGGGGTGTAGGAACGGTTTGATTGTGGCCGATTTGATCTCTCCTGCTGTTACGGGTATGACCGCGGTTGTCACTTCCCGGTTGCCCACACCGTGGAAGAATGTCTCTTGAGGAACCTGAATAGGAAGGTAGATTACGGTTGGTCTGAACGACCTGCAAGCGTGACCGCAGAGTCCAAGGGACAACTGCTTCAGGCCGGTCACGCACGGACTTTTGATGAGAAGTTTTATGAGTGTTAGCACCGCTCTTGAAAGCCCTTAGTGGGCACCCTTACCGCCGGAGACGGAAATCCATGAGGTAGGATGAGATGTAACATTTTTAGGGTCGAACGTTTCTAACCCTTCCTTCCTTGTGAGAAGGCAGCATCGCTGCAGATGCTGGTTGTCCGAGGGAAACACCTTACTGCTGTCACACTGCTCTACAGTCAGTCAGCAGTACCACGTCGCCCTCAGACCTCGAGTAGCTGCTTTTAGTCTCATCGTTCTCCAATCGATGTGTCTGGCATGGTAGAACCTTCAGGAACATATGATCCAGCCAATATAGCTCGGTTGGGTCATCACGATAGGCAAGCCCGACCACCACTTCACGGTAGCAGCTACGGTCGGGAGGTGATCACTAATTATTACATGGTATTATGTTTTATTTGTTCAAATGATACTGCAATAATCATAATCTCAGTGTTGATAATATAATAATAACACAATACGTAATAATCAGTACTAAGCCAAAATACATGAATATTGCGATACATAAACATCGGTAGTATTTCTAAAGTAGCATATATTTCTTACTATGAAGAATTTCGAGAAATATATAGCTATACAATATTACTAGTAAGTACAATTAATTGTAACTATGTATCGTTGTTTTGTAATTTATTGTAAATAACCATGTTATCTCTGAAAGGCTAGTCGATTGCCCATGGTATGACCGACAAAAATTAAGAAACCAATCACTTCACTTCCACTGGATAAAGCGTTTAAAATGGGACTAATGTAAAAAATAGTACCGTAATAACGCACTTTGTTTAAAATAATTTTAAACAATTACCTGCAATTCACCTAATTTCTCATAAATCAATTCATTATGATTCTGAAAAAGGAAAAAAAATTCAATTTATAGTGAGTTACAAATTAATTGTACATAGTCATTGTGTTTACATTGAAAAGTTTAGTCAGTGGAAAAGAAAAAAACAAACAAAATATTTAATAATGTTTATCTAGAATTTTTAGTTATATAAATAGGTCCGATAACATAAGATTCGAAAGAAATTTGCCATTATAAACATTACTATATGAACCTCTGTATCAGACAACCTATTTCAAATGATGAAATGACAATACAGAGTCAACAGTGAACAATGAGCAGATATAAGTATTTAAAACGTTCAGTCACTCAATCAGTCAGTCAGTTGCAACGTATAAATTCGTACACATGTACATAAGTTCATGTTGCCATACAACATTAGCTTACTTACTTACTTACTTACGCCTGTTACCCGCAATGGAGCATAGGCCGCCCACCAGTTTTCTCCAACCAACTCTGTCCTGGGATTCCCTCTCCAGTTCTGTCCAATGTTTGTTCATTCCTCTCATGTCTTTCTCTATTTCTCGGCGTAATGTGTTCCTTAGCCTTCCTCTTTTCTTTTTGCATTGAGGGTCCCAAGTGAGGGCTTGTCTTATGACGCAGTTTGTTGCTTTTATTTGTGTGTGTTCTATCCACTTCCACCGCTTCTTCCTGATTTCCTCTTCCACTGGAATCTGACTTGTTCTCTCCCACAGTTCGTTGTTGCTAATGGTGTCTGGCCAACGAATACGAAGTATTTTGCGTAGACAGATGTTAATAAACACTTCTATCTTATGGATGATGGCTTTGGTAGTTCTCCATGTTTCCGCTCCATACAGTAGAACTGTCTTGACATTTGTGTTGAGAATGCTGATTTTGGTTTTCGTTTAAAGTTGTTTGGAGTTCCAGATATTTTTCAACTGTAGAAATGCAGCCCTTGCTTTGCCAATCCGCGCCTTCACATCTGCATCGGATCCACCTTGGTAGCAATTTGGTCAGTACACGATCGATGCTTACGAAATCCGGCCTGTTCATCTCGAAGTTGGACGTCTACGAAGTCCTTCATTCTGTTTAACAATACCCTGTTGAACACTTTGCCTGGTATTGAAAGAAGAGTGATGCCTCTGTAGCTCCCATACTTTCTGTGATCGCCTTTCTTTGGTATTTTGATCAGGTATCCTTCTTTCCAATCTGATGGTACTTGTTCCTCACCCCACATCTTCTTGAAGAGGATGTGAAATATTTTCGCAGTTGCTTCCACATTTGCTTTCATTGCCTCTGCTGGAATGTTGTCTGGTCCTGCTGCTTTGCCGCTCTTGATTTGTCTGATGGCCATACCGATCTCTTCTATTGTAGGTGCGCCAATATTAATTGGGAGGTCTGTGGATGCTGCTTCGAAGTTGGGTGTGTTCAGTGGAGCTTGTCGATTCAATAGTTCCTGAAAGTGCTCTACCCACCTATTTCGCTGTTCTTCAGTGTTGCTGATTACTTTGCCCTCCTTGCTTTTCACTGGTCGTTCTGCTTTATGATAGTTTCCGGCCAGCTTCTTTGTTGTTTCGTACAATAGTATCAAGTTTCCTTCTCTTGCAGCCTTTTCCGCCGTCATTGCTAGATCTTCCACATATTTTCGTTAGTCAGCTCTGATGCTCTTCTTCACTTCCATGTTTGCTTCTGTATACTCGGCTTGCGCCTTAACTTTCTCTGCTCTTGTTCGGCTGACATTCACTGCTGCCTTCTTGTTCCTCCTTTCTTGAATTTTTTCAAGAGTACCAACAGAGATCCAATCCTTGTGATGGTGCTTCTTGCGACCAAGGACCTCCTGAAATGTTGAAGTGATTGCCTCCTTAATCCCTTTCCAATTGTTCTCCAATGTTGCTTCATCTCCATTGAGTAGATCCTGAAAGGCATGGAACCTATTGGTGAGGGCTATCTTGAACTCGTTGAGTTTTACGGTATCCCGAAGAAAGGCTGTATTAAATTTGTGTGATGTTTTCTGTCCCGTTGTCCAGTGCTTCTTCAGCTTCAGTTTCATTTTAGCGACCAGCAAGTGATGATCTGAGGCTATACCAGCTCCTCTCTTGGTTCTCACATCCTCCATGGTGCTTCTGAAATTTTTGTTGATACAGATATGGTCGATTTGGTTCTGAGTAGTGTGGTCCATGCCAACCTTGGCATTTAGGTCTCCCATCAGAATCGTCAAATCCTTTGGTGAGCATCTGTCGACGATTGACTGCAGCCTTTCGTAGAATTGATCTTTATCGTCGTCCTTGTAGTCATTGGTAGGTGCATAACATTGAATGACGTTCATTGTCAAGTCCTCTTTCTTTGTTTTGAAGGATGCTTTAATGATCCTGGGTCCATGAGATTCCCATCCTATCAGTGCCTTTTGTGGATGTTTGGACAGCATCAGTGCAACTCCTTGTGTGTGTGAAGCATTTTCCTCTTCATGACCAGAGTGAAACAGCAGTTCCCCTGAAGTTAGTCTCAGTTGTCCTACCTGTGTCCAATGCGTTTCACTGATGCCGAGCACCTCGAGGTTGTATCTTTTCATTTCTGCCGCAACTTGAAATAGTCTTCCAGTCTCCCACAATGTACGAACGTTCCATGTACCTAAAAGAATGGTTGCTCTGGTTGTCAGAAGAGGCATCAGCCCCGTGACTTCCGAAGGAAGTCGGCTTTCATCACGCGACGTCATAATTCTTCTTCCAACTCGCAGGGCAGAGTTAAAATGGTTTGGACAATTTTTTCTGGTTAGCTTTTTCTGGCAAGTAAGATTTCGAAGGAATGTGGTCGCCAACCCCATGCCCAACCTTCCTCCTTTATCCGGGCTTGGGACCGGCAGTAGCCACAAAGGTTCTACTGGCGGAGTTATACCACATTAGCACAGAGACGCAAATGTCTAATCGAATCACATAGTGATAGAGATAGTAGAGATATTAATGGTAATGAAGAAGACTAGGGTTTGAAGATAATATTCAAGAAGTAAAATTCAGAGAGATAAGGTTAGAAAGACAAAGGTAGATGTACTAACGAATCCAGAAGATTAGGATTCGAGAGAGCACAACGAATGGATGCACTTGCGCCATCGCAAACGATTTTGAGCCATGTCGTCTCTAACCATTGGTGACTTTCGTCTCGCGGACCCCAACCAGGTAGTCTACATCTACCAACATGACACAGTCCACTAGTCAATGACTTCACGGATTTCTGCCATGTTTTGGTTTGGATGCCCCTAGCTTTCTTCCAACCGACTCCTACACCACAAAACACAGCTTGTCGAGGCAGTCGATGGTTAAAAACTTAGGACTAATAGAGAACGTCCGATCAAAATTCTGTAACATTTATATCGGTGATGCAGATTAGAGTAGTAGAATAGAAAATCAGCAATCACTGAGATAATTAACCCTGATTTTGTTCCAATGAATAAGTGGTAAAACTTAAGATGTTTATTATGTTAAAATCTCATCAAGAATAGTGTCCTTCTGATCATCGTATTGGAACGAGGCATATATACATACAATTGTTGTTTTACTTCATACCCATAAATCCATTATATAATAGGAGAAATATCAACATCGAATGAACAGAAAATTCGTTTAAAAGAAATTAATTACATTATTGTTCACTTTATGTAATCTGGGATCCATTTGAAAGACTTTTTGTTCACCCAATTTACGTATAGTGCTTATTGTAGATGCTAGTCGTTGACGTTCGTCTTTTTCCAATGGCATAATTTCAATGCTACGCTTTAATTCATCTAACAAATTTGCATCACGAATATCTGGTTTTATACGATGAGAATAAGCAACTGCTAAATTATCTGAAACGTTATCACTTGATGATGGTGCTTTATTTAACTGAAAATCGGCTAATAGACGACGTTTTACATCAGCTAACCAATAATTTAAATAAGCTCTGCACAAAAGAAGAAAAATAAAAACAAAACATGATATATAGTTAGTAAGAAATAAATATTCTCTTTTTTTAGTTTGGATTTTAAACAAACATAACAATATAAGGATGAAGTACACTATTGATAGTTAATAGGTTTTAGACATAAACCAGCTTAACCTACATTGGTTTAGCCAAAAACTAATTTCACTAGCTCTTAAGGACAAACACATAAACATGCCAAGCATCTCCCAACCGAAGCTGCTACCTTGACGTGGTGGTCGGGCTTGCCTATCGTGATGAACCAACCGAACTATATTGGCTGGAACATATGTTCCTAAAGGTTCTACCGTGCCGGGGTCCGCGAGACGAAAGTCACCGATGGTTAGATACCTTGAACGACATGGCTCAGAATCGTTTGCAATGGCGCAGGTGCATCCACTTTTTGTGTTCTCTCTAATTCTAAGCTTCTGAATTCCTCATAATCTTTACCTTTCTCCTTCTAAATTTATCTTACTGAATTATACTTCTCGAACCATATCTTCGTTCACTAATCTTCTCCATTACTACTAATACTTTTATTATTGCTATCACTCTTGGATCTGAACTGACAGTTGCGTCTCTGTGCTGATGGGGCATGGCAACCTGGACTGATGTATTTAGGTACGAAGTTCTGCGTTGTATCTGTCTGTCTGTCTGCCAAGCATTTCTTAATATAGTGCACATAAAATGACAATGAATATTTTGTTTACTTAAGATCAGATATATTTAAATTGACTAACCGATCGAATGACTGACACACAAAATATGCTAAGCAAATCCTTTTTTTCAAAAACATGGTAAATTTTTTAAATTTATGAGTGATTAATCCGGCTAGTTAAAACTGATATTTTTCTCCTTTGTGTAACGTATCTAATGTACTCATGGGTGAATTTATCTAAAGTAGTGACTGACCGACGAATATATTCTATTTATTTTATCTAGAAACTGAAAATGGAATACTTGTACTAATCAACAACGTTAACGATGCTGAGGTAATTAACTAAGAAAGTTTTTAGAAAACTAATTCGACCTAACTTTACTGTTATACACGAAGGAATATTCAAGTAATAGTAACTTAGAAAAACGATTGATGAATTATTAGTATACATAGTCTTATTGTAGAATAGAATTAAGTAACTACACAATCAGGTTTATATATTTCTCTTATCTCTTCTCTTTCCGGTAACCTATAAACATACAATTTACTGGTCCTAATTTATTTCTGGTTTATTATTTAAAGTCTCCCCTACTCACAGCCACTTTCGGCTTATTCATGAAGTTTTTGTTTTCAGTTTATTGGCATATGTTGTTGAGTATGTCGAGTACCTCCACTACGCATGCTTAAAATATATTGTTTATATAGTAGAGGCTGATTATCGTGTTCTAAACTCAACGGACAGGGCTGGGAGAGAAGCTAACAAACCACCCATCAATCAAACGTAGCAGCAGGGCTACTAGTGCTGATTGGCGTGTCACTGGTTAGTTTCCACGACAAAGTCACAGAAAAAGATATGCTGTTTAGTGGCTTTTCGCAAGATGTGAGAGGCTCATAGTTCTGAGCACTTCGATCCACGTTTTATCGGCAGGTCGGTTAGTAGTTCAACCATTTTTAAGGACCTTGTAGGATTTAATTTGTCCTACAGATGTACTTCTAGAACTGTAAACGCAATATTGGCGAGCACAGTCTATGGGAAAGCTATAGTCAGAACAAGACCAATTTTTGCTTTAAACTTAATCTGTTCCTAAACACAAAAACAATTAGATTCGTACAATAAATAAGTAAATTACAGTTACCAAATGAAACGATCAATCATACCGACCAATATAGCGTGAATTATGGAAATGAATAAAGCTATGGGTCACATCAATAGAAGATAATAATGTCCTTCAATAAGTAGGTCATTTACAACAAAGAAAGCTTACAGACACGTCAGATTAGATCACGTGGTGAGCGCTTAGACCATAATTTTATTGGTTAGTTATGCCATAACTACAATTAGTTATGGAAATAACTAAAACAAGCCTTACACCTTTTAAAATATGTGAATTAAGTTTAAACCTCCAAAACTGATTCAGATGTTTCAGTATTGGTAATCGGTTAGTGTTACTAACATTCAGACCAAAAATTATGACTCAAAGATAGATACATGAACTGGACCTGGTAAATAATTAGTCCCAAAAAAAATACACCAAATGAAATAAGAAAATCATAAATTATTTGATGGGTTAGTAGGTTTAATGTAATGTAATGTAAAAAAAAGTTGACAAACTAGTAAGCCAACTTACCCATATGGAAAATCTAGTGTTTGATCACCAGCAGCAGATGATTTAACAACAGATATAATCGGACGAATTAACGAATCGTGATGGCATAAATCAGAGTTTGTAAAAGAATTTTCCTTGCAATTAGAATCAATACCTTCTGCATTTTCAGCAGTTTTAGATGATTCAACATAATATCGTGGATCACCATAGGGTTGTGGGATACGTCCGGGTATGAGAACACCCCATTTAAGTACCTTACAAACAGATAACAAAGAGACAAAAATTTACAACGATCCACTAAACCTAATTCATAAATGTTAGAAATTTTTAAAATATCTCAACGTTGATGTCTCAAAAAGCCCAGTCAACGCAAGTGCCTTATCCCAACAGCACCGCATAAGGACACAGACAGATGCAACGCAGAACTTCGTACGTATGTACATCAGTTCAGGTTGCCATACCACATCAGCACACAGTCGCAACTGTCAGTTCAAATCCAAGAGTGATAGAGAAAGTAGAAATATTAGCAGTAATGGAGAATATTAGGGTTCGAGAAGTATAATTCAGTGAGATAAAGTTAGAAAAAGAAATATAGGGATGACGAGGTATTCAGGAGGTCAGAATTTGAGAGAACGCAATGAATGAATGCACCTGCGCCATTGCAAACGATTCTGAGCCATGTCGTTCAAGGTATCTAACCATCGGTTACTCTACTCTCGTGGAACCCAACCAGGTAGCATACATCTACCAACATGACTGAGTCCAGACGTACATAACTTCGTGGATTTGTTCCATGTTTTGATCTGGCCGCTCCTAACTTTATTGCGACTGACTCCTACACCACACAACATAGCTTGTCGAGGTAGTCGGTGGTTAGGCACACGCAGCACATGTCCCAACCACCTCAATTGATGAAGTTTCAATACTTCATCTATTGATCTGCCATCCCTACCTAGTACTCGTTTCCCGACTATTTCATCGCTTACTGGGCTGTCCCAGGAAATACAAGCAATGCTTCGGAGACACCGATGTTCGAAGACTAGTAACCCACGAAAGTCCTCTACTCTTAACGGCCATGTTTCGCATTCGTATAGAAGAACGGAGAGAACTGCTGTGCAGTACACTCGTCCTTTGGTTAGCAGATGGATGTCTCGCCTGCGCCATAGATGACGCAAATCAGCGAGAGCCAATCGAGCTTTCTGTATTGGTGATGAGATTTCGTCGATAACCAGTCAATCAGTCAGCACTGATGAGACGCCCCAGATACGTGTAGCAACCTACACGTTCGACTACTTCACTCCTTATCACTAGTTCAGGTGCCGATGCAGCCCAGTCTTGAAGCGACATTTTGTATTGCGAGGAGGAAAACCGACCGTAGGCTGCGACCTTGACGTGGTGGTCGGGCTTGCCTATCGTTATAATGCAACCGAGATATATTGGCTGGAACTTATGTTCCAGGTTCTACAATGCCGCACACATCGATTGGAGAACGATGAAACTAAAAGCAGCTGCCCAAGGTCTGAGGGCGAAGTCGTACTACTAACTGACTGTAGAGGAGTGTGACAGCAGTAAGGTGTTTCCCTCGGACAATCAGCATCTGCAACGATGCTGCCTTCTCACAAGGAAGGAAGGGTTAGAAACGTTCGACCCTAAAAATGTTACATCTCACCCTACCTCACGGATTACTGTCTCCGGCGGTAAGGGTGCCCCACTAAGGACTTTTAAGAGCGGAGCTAATCCTCAAAAAACCTTTCATAAAAAGGCCGGGCATGACTGACCTGAAGCAGTTGTCCCTTGGACTCTGCGTTCACGCTCCCAGGTCTCTAAGACCAACACTCGGAAGGATAGGGACACTTGGCGTCGCCTCTTCGTCGTATCTGCCTACGCTCCCACTGACTGCAGTTCAGACGAGGTGAATGATAAGTATTATAGAAACCTCTCGAAACTTCTTCAAAATGTTGAGCACTCTGATATAGTAATAATGGCCGGTGACTTCAACGCTCAAGTAGGTAGACTAAGTGAGCAGGAAAGACACCTGGGTGGATTCTATATTGTGGCGGCTAGTCGAAGAGATAATGTCGACCGTCTGCTGCAGCTATGTTCAGATAACCGCCTATCCTAAGAAAACACTAACTTTAGGCATAAGGTAGAACACCTTTTGACCTGGCGTCTGCCAAAGTCGGCATAACGATGGACTGAACTAGATTACATCGCTATAAGCCATCGGTGGAGAGGCTGTATTTAAGACTGCCGCTAATTCTGGAGCACTTATTTAGACATAGACCATGCTTTAGTGCGAGTACGTATTTGTTTGCGCCTTACTGGGAGCAATAAAAATATTACAAGGAAACATCTTAGTGATATCATATCTATGATCACATTTCAGGAGCAACTACAAAAACAGTTAGGCAACCATTTAAGTGATTCCCACACGGAGGCAGGTCAGAATGATATCAAAAAGGCTGTGGAAACAGCAGTGATATCTGCTAGTAATGTAAACCATCAGTCTAGGAAGAAGCCGTGAATTTCAGTAGCATCTACCGAACTGATGGATGCTCATAAACTCATCCCACCTGGCTCTGAAGATGATGAAGATCGAAGTCAGCCTAGGCGCGGCTTATAAAAAGCCTACACAACGACCGTGAACATTGGTAGGTGGCGAAAGCAAGAGAGATGGAAGAGGCAGCGTCGATAGGCATCAGCAGACAGTTGTTCAGATCTATCAAATAAACAGGTATTAGGAGCCCTGATGTGAGTGAAACTATTTCGGAAAAGGATATGACTGTTATTTATTCTCAATCCAGGAGATTGGATCGATGGGCAGAACACTTTGAGAATCATTTCAACAGGTCTTCAGCCACACTTCGATCGCCCACGATCCCCAGTCATCCTGAATGGCCAATCGATTTAAGTCCTCCCAGTCTACATGAAGTTTAGAAAGCGATAAGAAATCTGAAGTGAGCGAGAACAGCGGGTCCTGATAGACTGACCCCTGAAATGTTTAGAGACGGTGGTACAGTTTTAGCAGCTAGACTGAATGAGAGCCCAGGTAGAATCTGGATACTGGGCATAATACCACCTAACTGGTCTCAATCCCTCTGTTAGTGGGACATAGATGGAGTTAAAGCATGATTACGTTGCTGAGCGCTGATCGATTCTTGGAGAACAGGGTAGAAAATTCTCGTACTGTTAGCTGCGTGCTGATTGGTTAAATCTAATCCATTCGATCACGTGGATTTCTATCCAGAAGCTTCTCATGTAAATGCTATAAATAAACTAACGTTGTATCTATTTTTGCCTTCGCCTTCGCCATCACCTTTGGCTTCTTATGTCCATTTAACCTTGCTATTTGGAATATAATCTTTTCCTGTTCAACCGTGCTTTTGATTCTTGGGAACTTGTGCAGTGTATTGTGGTCAGAGAATACTACGCAATAGGATTTAGCTGTGGATTATCTAAGCAAGCGTTACAAAACCATCACTGTCCCAGTTTATGAGAAAGGACAAACGTCTACGTGTGACAAGCGCAGGGGAACACGTCTGTCGGTCGTGAGGTTATGTGGCAGTGTCTGTCAATGAAAGGTGTACCAAAGAAGTACATTAACCTTATACAAGCTCTCTACTCGAACACCACTGGTTGAGTAAGAGCCTATGGCAAAATGTCATCGGGATTCTCTACATCAAGTGGTGTCCGTCAAGGATGCCCACTCTCTCCATTCTTGTTTAACTCTGTCGTTGACATGCTTTTAGAGTTAACTTCATCATCGTCTGACTTTCCAGGAGGAGACCTATTACCAGGAGGCTCGCTTATCGACTTAGAATATGCCGATGACATAGTTCCGTTAGGTGAAGACGCTGACAAAATGCACAGTCCTCTGACTACCATAAGCAACAATGCAAGCATGTTCGGGATGCGGTTTTCCTACTCGAAATTCAAAATGTTGCTTCAAGATTGGGTTGCATCGCTACCTGAACTAGTGATAGGGAGTGAAGTATTTGAGCGTAAAGACCGCCTCACTTATTTCGGTAGTCTCAGCAGTGTTGATGGCCTGGTGACTGACGAAATCTCAGTACAAATTCAGAATGCTGGACTGGCTTTTACCAACGTGAGTCACTTATGGCCTAGGCGAGATATCCGTTAGCTAACCAAAGAACGAGTGTTCTGTTCAGAAGTTCGCTTCGTCCTACTATATGGATGCGAAACATGGCCGGTGACAGTAAAGGACATTTGGTTTCCGATCATAGGTGTCTCCAAAGCATTGCTTGTATTTCCTGGGACAGCCCAGTAAGCGATTAAATAGTTAGGAAAAGAGTACTAGGTAAGGATGGTAGGTCAATAGATGAAGTAGTGAAACGTCATCAGTTGAGGTGGTTGGGACATGTGCTGCGTATGCCTAACCACCGACTGCCTCGACAAGCTATGTTTTGTGGTGTAGGAGTCGGTTGGATGAAAGCTAGGGGCAGCGAAACCGAAACATGACAGAAATCCATAAAGTCACTGACAAGTGGACTGAGCCATGTTGGTAAGTGTCGACTGTCTGCTTCGAGCCCGCGAGACGATAGTAATCGGTGGTTAGTGACTCTCATAACGTGGCTCAAAATCGTTAGCAATGGCGTAGGTGCATACATTCTTTGTGTTCTTTCAAATCTTAATCTTTTGGAATCTACATCATTTCTTTCTTTTTCTAAAGTTGTCTCACTGAATTATACTAATGTGATATTGCAACTTGAACTGATGTACATACGTACAAATTTTTACGTTGCAGCTGACTGGTGGATTGAATTTGCTCTGTGTCAAGAGAGTTGATCGATACTGTTGAGTGTACCACTTTGAATATCTGTCTATTAGGTTGCCCTGATCATTGATTGTTGAATCATTTAGTACTTACATAACAGTCGTAAAGAAATGGTTTAAGTCAAGACTTTGGCTGAACTTATATGTGCTTTTCAAAGAATGTTTTCCAATAATTTCAGGTTGCCAGATGAAGAAAACTGATGAAAAATTATCAAAAAAGAAAATATAATATTGGTTGGTCGTGAATATTGACTTTTGTAAATTAAATTCTAGGAAAACAAAAATTATATTTGCTGATTAATAGAAACTGATACAGACCTGGAAGTGGATTACAACATTTTTAATTCAATAGCTAAGAATAATTGCAAAAGAAAGTGAATTGTAATCATATGTACAAAAACACATACTTTCTCTCATTTTAAAACAGATGTTTTCTAAAACTCAAAAACAAAATGAAATCTCAGTGGTAACGTCTCTGATTATGGTGCTCAATAACACGGGGTTGAATCTATCATGTACACTTTGCTGACACATGTGCCAAATAGCACGAAAACTAGATGCATGGTTTCCTGTAGACTAATTTCAACCATCACCTTACAACTAACTTTTCATCAATAAGCTACTGTTGATGCTTGTAACGCTATGGTAGATTTACAACAAATAAATTCAAATATGGATCTATTTAATTGTACAATGTTTTGTTTTTGTTGCTGTTTTTAGTATCTTGCAACTTGTTTTCAAAAAAGGAAACGAATTATGCTAAAATAATAAACACTTAATCGAATAAAATTAGAAACTAAACTTACTCGATCATAATGCAAAGGTAGACCCTGCCAACAGAGTTTTAAAAGTTTCGGTGCAATATGCATTTGGGCAGTTAATAAAGCTGGTCCTGCGTTTAAGTTATCTTTAACTGGTTTCGGAATTAAATCTCTATACCACCTAAAATAATTAAATAGTTCAGTGATGAAATTCACTTGTTAGATATTGACATCTATAATAAATAAAATCAAATAGAAAACAAAACCTCTGAAATTTATATAATGTAACTCATATATATATATATATATATATATATATGTCCAAAATAATGCATACGTTGAAGGGTTGACGTATGCCAGTGAAGATCGACTAAATACATCAGTAATCTGCAAATAGAAATCCTTCCGAATAGCTATATGCCCAATGGACAAGTTACTGACTGACTGTGTTGAGTCACTTAATACATTATGTTTTGGTATTTTGATTGATAAGCACCGAACTCAAGTACAAATGTGAACACCAACTATAATGGACATGTCCATTCAGTTGAAGAGACTTAAACAAGACAAAATGAAAGTTTTGGATTCTGCTACTTGGTACAAGGCTTGCGTCTAGGAATTGTCGATAATTATTAGCATGCCGATCAGTAGAGTTTGAAAATATCACTTACTTAGGAAGACGAGATATCTTTTCATCAGCTTTGTTTTTCTGTAGAGAAAAAAGAACAAAATGACTCAACATTTAAATAATCACTAAATTCTGTATGTTTAACATTTATTATAATAACCAGTGTGTGAAACCCATATTTTACAAAAGAGGAAAACAAATCACATTGAGCCTAAAGCTTTAACTTACAAGGAGCAGACGAATACGATAAAGATAAAACGCATAAAACTAAGGAGTAGAGGTATTGGATAACATTATTTTGAAACAGACTTCATACAATAAGTGGGTCCAAAATCATTTGATCTTCTTTCGTGAAGAGTAAAATGATAAGTGATTAAGACAAAATCAATGCAGGCATTCCTTACAATTGGTAGTTTGATGACAAACTTGTAGTTGCAATTGATTAGTGAATTAATAATTATCATTAAGTTTTATACTTCAACTAACATATTAAATGGCTTACTGAATAACAATTCGTAGATTGAATAACTTGGAAAGTTTTAGATATAGGTTAGCTTGGTTTTAAAACTACTTTTTTCGAACTTTCTTTTGTAATACTTTCTATATTTCGGTGGAGAGACGTTTCATTTTAAAGGAAAACAGTTAGTTGGAATTGCATAAGCAATAAAGAATTTTACATATATGCATTGGTTATAATTACTTACACTACATCAACCTAACGAGGGAAAAAATAATGAAATGAGAGCGAAATTTGTAGAACTGTCACTAATATCAGCAATTGCAAAATACAGAAATTGTAGCTACTTAACTTTCGACTTGCACTTTTAATAAATCAAAATATCTAGTAAATAAATTCTAGTCTTTAATAATAATTCATCTTAACAGAGATCAAAAGTTTATAAATTTTGTAAAACGTCTTAATTGAATACTGGTATACTTGTCCGGTTATCGATCGCTGTCTTCCTGTTGTTCCCTTCTAGATTCTTATCAGGTGTATCAACAAAGATGCATTCGTTGTTGTGGCCCAAAACCTTACGATGTGTTGAAGTGATTGCTTCACGATGCTAAAGACCCTTCGAGGCTACTGCCGGTCCTAAGCCCACATAATGGAGAAGGGTTGGGATGTGGGTTTGCGATCCCATCTTCGAAAAAATAACTTGCAAGAAAAACGCTAACGAGAAAATATAATTCAAACCATGAAAACTCTGCTCTCGGAGTTAAAAGGTCTTCCTTTCCATGGTGTGGGCAGCCGGTAAGTGACATCCGCCCTCGTACCAATAAAAGCACACGAGACCGAATCGGTCACAATCAAGTCCTTTCTACACCTCCTAATAACTCTCTTATCTCCTCGACCAACCCTTCTTTCGATCGTTTATCACCTCACGCCACTGAAGCAAACGGTATGAGCTCACGAAACATTATTCCTGGTTTCTTGAAACCCTGTACTAAATTACATATAAGAGCTTTTAATGTTCGGACCCTATGCCAGCCAAATCGGGCAACAGGCTTCACTGGCTAGAACTCTGGAATCCCAGGCGATCGATGTATGTTGCGTCTTCGAAATGCGCACACAAGATCCGAGTAAAATCATCAATTCGATCTCACCTAGTGCAGATAGAGACACAACAAGGTTTACGTTTCGTGTTTCAGGTAGTCCTGATGCTGCCTCCCGCGGCCTCGCCAGTGTAGGTGTAGTATTAAGTCCTAGGGGAGAAATAGCTCTCTTAGACTGGATCCCGATAGATAGTCACTGATGCGCTGTCCGACTGAACGGGACGGTACGGGCTCGGAAGGATAGGGACACCCGGCGTCGCCTCTTCGTCGTATCTGCCTACGCTCCCACTGAATGCAGTTCAGACGAGGTGAATGATAAGTTTCATAGAAACCTCTCGAAACTTCTCCAAAATGTCAAGCACTCTGATATAGCAATAATGGCCGGTGACTTCAACGATCAAGTAGGTAGACTAAGTGAGCAGGAAAGACACCTGGGTGGATTCCATATTGTGGCGGCTGGTCGAACAGATAATGTCGACCGTCTGCTGCAGCTATGTTCAGATAACCGCCTATTCCAAGAAAACACTGGCATTAAACATAAGGTACCACCATTCAATATTCAGTCTCACTTATTCGAACACAAATAACTCGAAAGTTTGTTTACTTTAGGATTAATAAGCTGTTGTTTACCTAATCTACAAAAATGGAGTTTACATCATATTATTAACTAGAAAAACACGGCTCATTTTCATATTTTTTGAAAAATAATTAAACAAAGTGAGAATGATGATGAAAGAAAAGTAGTTTTCACAACACATTATTATGACCAAATTATACTGCTGTCAACAGCAGCAGCAACAAAAGAACAGACAATGAAATAATTAAAAACAACGAGTAAACTAACACATTTGACTTTAGGTTTTGACCAATCCAAATCCCACAGCCATGGATCAGTTTTATACCTTAAAGTAAAAATTGGAATTGTACGAATTATTATTATTGTTGTTACAATATGAAATATAACGGGAAATAAAACAATATATCTCAGTTACATGAGAAAGACTGTCTACACTGAATACTTAACTTAATTAGATTTAGTTTGAGAATGCATTTTTATGTATTAGTTCTTTTGCAATTGTTCCGATTAACCTGCTTCGCTCGATTCTTGTTTATTAACTTATACTACTTATTTATCTTCAGTTAACAATATTATGCTTGATAATTTCTAGATGTGTAATGTGACACCAACTATACATTTTTGTGATATGTTAAAATATTTATAAAAAAAGCGTATATTATTATTATTATTATAATCACCTTCTTTCAAATGTTGTAAAGATTATTTCCTGTTTATAAGTTCCCTGAATTTTTATTTAGACGCAACAAGTTACATAATTATTCGCCCTTAGATACTATACAATGGTCAACAAAATATTGATTACATCAGACAGCTATCAAACATCATTTACACTGATGAACATTTAAGTTATTGCTTACTTTATTTTGAAAATAAGCTGCTTTCTTTAGAGACATTCAAATGAGTTAAATGCCTAATAAACCACGCTAGTAAAGGTTTGTACCTAATAGCGAGAGAACAATCCATATAACTGTTCTGACATGACAATTAAGGATAAGTTCGTGTACTGGGATATGACTTACATTTAATGATATAACTCAAAATCGTTTGTAATGGTGAAGGTGCAGCCACTCGTGGTGTTCTATGAAATTCTGATCTGAATTCTTCATCACACGTACCATTCTCTTTCTAAAGTTATCTCACTGAATTATACTTCTCGAATCATATCTTCGAACCATAATCTTCTCCATTACTGCTAATAATTCTAGATTTAAATTGAAAGTTGCGTCTCTGTGCTGATGCGGTATGGCAACCTAAACTGATGTACGAAGATTCACATTGTAACTGCCTGGAAAATTTCTGCCGTTACTACAGCACTTGGAGTCAGCTGAAGGTAGGGTAGTACATGAGAATAGTATGCATATCTAGTCAAGGAGAGCTAGTTCTCCTTTTAAAGTTAGTGCTATACCGACGTCGGCGAGGCTATGGGAAGCAGTAGTAGGGCTTTCAGACACACTATGGATAAATCGCACAGGTTCTTCATATTGACCGTCCTTCGTACTATCGCGACTGAAACACCGCTTTACTTATCTCGAAGGTCTTATCAGTGCTGACGGCCTGGTGACTGACGAAATCTCAGCACAAATATAGAAGGCTCGATTGGCTTTCACCAACTTGTGTAATTTGTGGCTTAGGCGAGATATCGATTTTCTAACAAATGGACGAGTGTACTGCGCAGCAGTTTGCTCCGTCCTACTTTATGGCTGTGAAACATGGCAAGTCAGAGTAGAAGATGTTCGTAGGTTACTGGTTTTCGATCATATGCGTCTCCGAAGCATTGCTCGTATATTCGAGTAAGCAATGTTATAGTTAGGAAACGAGTACTAGGTAGGGATGTCAAATCAATAGATGGAGTAGTGAAGTCCCATCGATTGAGGTAGTTGGGACATGTGTTACGAATGCCCAACCACCGACCACCTCGTTGAGCAATGTTTTGTGGTGTGGGAGTAGGTTGGAAGAAAGCTAGGGGCAGCCAAACCAAAACATGACAGAAATGCATGAAGTCACTGACATGTGAACTGAGTCATGTTGGTAGATGTAGACTACCTGGTTGGGGTCCGCGAGACGAAAGTCACCAATGGTTAGAGACGACATGGCTCAAAATCGTTTGCGATGGCGCAAGTGCATCCATTCGTTGTGCTCTCTCGAATCCTAATCTTCTGGATTCGTTAGTACATCTACCTTTGTCTTTCTAACCTTATCTCGCTGAATTTTACTTCTTCAATATTATCTTCAAACCCTAGTCTTCTTCATTCCCATTAATACCTCTACTATCTCTATCACTATGTGATTCGATTAGACATTTGCGTCTCTGTGCTAATGTGGTATGGCAACCTGAACTTATGTACATACGTACGAAGTTCTACGTTGCAACTGACTGACTGTGTGAGACGTGAAGGCGCGGATCGGCAAAGCAAGGGCAGAATTTCGAAAAATGCAGAACATCTGGAACAGGAAACAACTATCAACAAACATCAAAGTCACAATTTTCAATACAAATGTTAAGACAGTTCTACTGAATGAGGCGGAAACTTGCAAAACTAACAAAGCCATCATTCAGAAGATACAAGTAGTTATTAACAGTTTTCCACGCAAAATACTTCGGATCGGTTGGTCAGATACAATCAGAAACAACCTACTGTAAGAGAGAACAAACCAGATCCCAGAAGAGGAAGGAATGGGGAAGAAGCGCTGGAAGTGGATAGGACACACACTGATGAAAGCATCCAACTACATCACAAGGCATGTTTTCACTTGGAATTCTCCAAGGTCAAGGAATGCTGGTCGGCGTTCTATGTTCCACAGGGAGTAACAGGTGTAAGTAGGCAACTAATTTAGTTGCGTTATTTAAGATATCTTCTTTTGACTGAATGAAAAACATAAAATCAAATTCTTAATAGAATGTCAACCAATTTCCAGATTATCAATCTGTGACCACATTATCGACTGTGATAAAAAGCCTGACCGGTAACTATTATGATGGTTAATTAGTATTATGTCCAGCTCTCTCACAAATTAAGAATACATCAGATGACTACTAACTAGTTCATTTAATTTTTCAAGGTTAGATGGGACAAAATCAGACAGGTACAACTGATTGGTATTCAATAAATTAAATAATTTTTTTTCCAATTTCAATACAGATTTATATCTTGTAAAAGAAATCAATAATTTATAAATGATTTAAAAAGGAAAAATTACATAATAAAAACATCTTACTCTTCATTATTTGAATATTTAGCCAATGCTTGATCAGCTAGTTGCATCAACAATTTTTTCTGTCTCAATATATTCTCTGCATATGATGATTCTGCATTTTTTTGAAATTTAATCCAATTATCATTGATTGGTAAATACATGCTACTCATTTCTAATAATCCATAAAATGTTGCAGGATGTGGAAATCTACAAGAGGAACAGTAGTAGGAGAAGAGAAATGAACCGCTGCATAATGGGATGAGCTATTGTAAGCAGTAATTGCGACGAAGTCAATAATCTACGTACTACTACGTACACAATAAATAAACATTAATCAGTTATTTGTTTAATTTTTCTCACTGTCATGATGGTCTTCTTCACGGATATGACATCAATCAACATGCAAAGAAACTACAAATAATCTGGCCAACTGTTTTATGCTAGTTTAGGGAACCTGTAACAATAAGTAGCCACGACCCAACAACATTAGATGGGACATCATGACGAATATAATATCTTCTAAACAGTTGATTTAGATTTAATTAGTTTACATTGTAAACTTCATTCAATTCACCATATGACACTCGATGATGATTATACAATGGAATAAATGAGTCTTACTCAAAACATGGTTGGCAAATAAACAATCAGTTAGTCAGTCAGTCAAATACAGCGTGGAACTTCATACAAGAGTACGTACGTTCAGGTTACCATACCACACTAGGACACAGACGCAACTGCCAGTTCTAACCACATAGTCGTAGCGATAGTAGACGTATTAGCAGTAATGGAGAATATTAGGGTTCAAAGATATGATTCAAGAAGAATAATTCAGTGGGATAAAGTTAGAAAGAGAAAGATAGGGGCGACGAGGTATTCAGGAGGTCAGAATTTAAGAGAACGCAATGAATGAATGCACCTGCACCATTGCAAACGATTCTGAGCCATGTGATCAAGGTCTCTAACCATCAGTTGCTCTCCTCTCGTGGACCCCAACCATGTAGCTTACATCTACCAACATAACTGAGTTCACTTGTCAATGACTTGATGGATCTGTGCCATGTTTTGGTCTGGCCGCCCATAGGCATACGTAACACATGTCCCAACTACCTCCACTGATGGATCTGCCATCCCTAACAAGCACTCGTTTCCTAACTATAGCATTGCTTACTCAGCTGTCCCGTACCAGCACACGAGACCGAATGGGTCGAAATCAAATCCTTCCACCACCCCCTAGTACCTCTCTTATCTCCACGACTAACTCTTCTCACATTCCTTTATCACACTGCACAGCTAATGAAAACAATGCGAGTTCACGAAAAGTAATTTCTGGTCTCATGAAACCCCGTTCCAAACTACATGTTGGAGCATTTAATGTACGGACATTGTGTCAAATAGGGCAACAGGCTTCGTTAGCTAGGACTTCAGAATGTCGTTTAATCGATGTATGCTGCATCTCCGAAACGCGCATACAGGATCCTAGTAAAGTCATTATTCTGACTTCGCCTTGTCAAAACAAACAAGTCAGTCAGTCAAATGCACCGTAGAACTTCGTACGTAAGTACATCAGTTCATGTTGCCATACCTTATCAGCACAGAGATATATTTGTCAATTCAAATCCAATAGTTTTAGAGGCAGTAAAGGTATTAGAAGTATTCAGAGAGGTTAGGATTAGAAGATATTCAAGAAATATGATTCAGTGAGAAAAGTTTAGAAAGTCAAAACTAGAGAGGGTTGAAGAATCAAGATTAGGATTTGAGAGAACAGTTGCGTCTCTGTGCTGATAGGGCATGGCAACCTGAACTGATGTATTTAGGTATGAAGTTCTGCGTTGTATCTGTCTGTCTGTACCAAAGAAGTACATTAACCTTATACAAGCTGTCTACTGGCACACTACATGTCGAGTTAGAGCTTATGGCGAACTGTCATCGGAATTCATTACTTCAAGTGGTGTCCGTCATGGCTGTCCACTCTCTCCATTCTTGTGTAACTTTATCGTGGATATGCTTTTCGGGTTAACATTATCATCGTCTGACTTTTTAGGAGTGGACCTTTTATCAGTAGAAACCCTTGGTGACCTAGAGTATGTTGATGACGTAGTCCTATTCGCTGAAGACGCTGACAAAATGCAGTGTCTTCTGACTACCCTAAGCAACAATGCAACCATGTTCGGGATGCGGTTCTCCGCATCGAAATGCAGAATGTTGCTTCTGGATTTGGCACCTGAACTAGTGATAGGGAATGAAGTAGTCGAGCGTGTAGATCGCCTCACTTATCTCGGTAGTCTCAACAGTGCCAATGGCCTGGTGACTAACGAAATCTCAGCACGAATATAGAAGGCTCAATTGGCTTTCGCCAACTTGTCATTTTTGGCTTAGGCGAGATATCGATTTTCTAACCAAGGGACGAGTGTACTTCGCTCTGTCCTACTCTATGGATGCGAGTCATGGCAGTTAAGAGTAGAGGACTTCCGTAGGTCACTAGTCTTCGATGATCGATGTCTCCGAAGCATTGCTCGTGTATCATGGGACAACCGTATAAGCAATGCTGTCGTTAGGAAACGTGTTCTAGGTAGGGACGGCAAATCAATAAATGAAGTAGTGAAACTTCATCATTTGATGTGGTTGGGACATGTGTTACGTATGGCTAACCATCGACTGTCGCGACGAGCTATGTATAGCAGTGTAGGAGTAGATTGGAAGAAAGCTAGGTGCGGCCTAACCGAAACATGGCAGAAATGCATGAAGTCACTGACATGTGGATTGAGTCATGTTGGTAGATGTAGGCTACCTGGTTGGGGTCCGCGAGACGAAAGTCAACGATGGTTAGAGACGTTGAACGACATGGCTCAGAATCGTTTGCAATGGCGCAGGTGCATCCAACCTTTGTGTTCTATGAAATTCTAAGCTTCTGAATTCCTCATAATCTTTACCTATCTCGTTCTAAATTTATCTTACTGAATTATACTTCTCGAGCCATATCTTCGTTCACTAATCTTCTCCATTACTACTAATACTTTTACTATTGCTATCACTCTTGGATCTGAACTGACAGTTGCGTCTCTGTGCTGATGGGGCATGGCAACCTGAACTTATGTACTTAGTTCTGCGTTTTATCTGTCTGTCTGTCTGTTGGCTGTCCCACGATACACGAGCGATGCTTCGGAGACACATATGGTCGAAAACCAGTAACCTACGAATATCTACTCTGACTTGCCATGTTTCACAGCCATAAGGTAAGACGGATCGAACTACTTAGCAGTACACTCGTCCGTTAGTCAGCAAACGGATATCTGGCCTACGCCATGACGGACGCAGGGTTTCCCGTTTACGGTGACTGGAGATCGTGGGTAACCGAAGTGATGCTTTCGTTAAGCGTCGGAGTATTATTGAGGCCAATATTTTAGAAACTATACTAGTTAGTCTTATTCCTCTGTGATTGTCATAAGAGGACTTCTGTCTTTTCTTATGAATTGAGACAATCAGGGATTGAGACCAGTCGGATGGGATTACGTCCAGTTTCCAGATTCCATCTAAAATCTCGACCTAAGATCTGGACCACCATCCTTAAACATCTCAGCGGTAAGTCTATCAGGCCCTATTGCTCTACCTCGCTTTAGATTTTCTATAGCTTTTTCAACTTCATAAACATTCGGAGGACGTTTTTCAATTTACGATTCAGGATGACTGGAGATCGTGAGCAATCGAAGTGTTGCTGAAGGCAAGTTGAACTGATCCCTAAAGTGTTCTGCCAATCGATCCAACCTCCTGGATTTAGAATGAATAATAGTCCTATCCTTTTCCGAAATAGTCTCCCTTACCTTGAGATTCCTAATAACGACTTCCCTGATGAATCTGAATAGTAGTCTACTGTTGCCTATCGCCGCTGCCTTTTCCATCTCTCTTGCTTTCGCTACCCACCACTGTTCGCGATCATCGCGTAGGCTTTTTATCAGCCTGCGCCTGAGCTGACTTTGCTAACCAATCAGGATTACTGTAGTGTTTGTTAAAATACCACACATTGAGTAAGTATATGATTGATTAGCTAAGTGATTGTCTGGGGATCTGAACATAAATATCGAAATAAAAGTATAACTACATTTTTTAAAAACATTAATTGTAGATGGCCAAGTAAAATAGCTTACCTTTCTTTAAATATAGGCCACAAAACTCGAATTATTTCATATGTCATCAGTACGTCCGTGGCACAATATGTGAATAGTTTCTAAGTGAAATAAAAATAATTTTTGCAAAAGTTTGCAGAAGGTAGATGAACTAGAATACGATGACTGTCTAAATATGATTATTAAGAAATAGGGTGGTTTTAAATCGGCTTTTTAAGCAGTGACCAGAGTGAGTGTAAATTAAAAGCGTTTCAAAGAAAACGTAATAAGACATCTTGATTTAGTGTTTCTCGGATAATTTATGTACATTTAAAGATATTATTAGTTTTGCAGTCCTAATATTGTATAAGATTCGCTACATTATCTCATTAACTTGAGTGAACAGAAAAGATAAACAAGCGTATCGTTTTTGTTCATTATAAACTATAACTAAGCATAACTAATAACAGTGACAACTGGTTTGATATAACTCACCAAGTACTGATTCGTGTACTCGGTTTTGAGACACTGTATGGGAGAGCCAGTGATAATACAGACTGCGCGAACCATCATAAATAGAGCATAAGTAGAACTGAGTCAAAACTAGGTGGTGGACTAGACATATAGCATACAACAATAGAGTTATAATATCCCATTCCCATTGGCGGGTCAGACAACGCGGAAATGATAATACCACCAAAACATTTGACAACCTAGGTACTCTAATTGGATTAACCACAAATGAAGGATATACAGATTTGTGGACTGGAAAATAAAACCCTCCCGAAGGTGTTACAAAGGCCATTTAATACTTACTCATGAAAAAAACTAATATAAAACTACAACAGCACTTCAACTTAATAGTAGGGTAAGGAAGACAGCTATATAAAAGAATATTTAGCATCTCAAATGAAACATAATAGCATAGAAATCTGTATGCGCGATTGTCGGACCTTCTGTATAACACGTTAGCATTCGCAACAGATCGTACTGGGTTCGAGCCTGAAATGATCATTAACTCTGGGATCTAGGTCCATTGAGCGGATGAGTACCAACTAAGGCGAAATGTGTCACCCGGATTCCACTATTAGCAACATTTCATTTGTTCTTTATTATTATTATTATTATTATTATTATTATTATTGTTTTGACTCTGTTTCGTTCCTCTTATGATAATTCCTTCTGTTATTGTACTGATACAAGGATGTAACAGCTGCAAGTGATATATGTGCCAGATCCTGTTATCTATGACTGAGTGAAGTACTGGGGTGGGGGTTCAGTTTTCCAGGATAATAGAATTCTGTGTTCGAAGAGTTCACATGATATAATTGAAAATTTATCACAATCACACGAATATCACCATTCTTTCTTATCTCCTAGAACTTGAACGTTTAGTCAATATTTTTCTTTCCGAGGCAGGTTGCTTTAATCATCGGTTAATATATATGTGAATCTAGTTTCTCTTTTCTTCTAACAGGAATCATTGTGAAAATTTAGTCAGCATGGAAGGAGACGAAGTATAACGACAACATCCGCTGAATGAAGCGGTTTCATGAAGCTTATTTATATTCGACAATCTAATAAGCAGGCTTCAGCTACAATCCTTTAACAATCATTAACGAAAAATGCATATCAAATACAATATGTGAGTGTCTCGTTTTTTCACTTTATTACAGTGAAAAGCTATGCATAAAATCCTTGCTTTCCTCATAAATATCGAACAAATTGTTCGCTACACTATTACAAAGTGAAATAATCAATTCTGTATTAGAGTTTGAACTAAAAACAATACTCCGAATTACTAAATCCTACAAAAACAAGGCAACAGACAGTTAAAAATGTTCACCAATAAAATTCTGATTAACAGTTGCATTTTCTACGAACTGAAAAGCATTTGAATTACTCTGGGTAGTAAGAAATCAAGTTAGCTAGTAAGTATAAACCAAGTTAGGCAGTCAGTCAGTTGCAACGTAGAACTTCGTACGTATGTACATAAGTTCAGGTTGCCATACCACATTAGCACAGAGACGCAAATGTGTAATCGAATCACACAGTGATAGAGATAGTAGAGGTATTAATGGTAATGAAGATGACTAGGGTTTGAAGATAATATTCAAGAAGTAAAATTCAGAGAGATAAGGTTAGAAAGACAAAGGTAGATGTACTAACGAATCCAGAAGATTAGAATTCGAGAGAGCACGACGAATGGAGGCACTTGCGCCATCGCAAACGATTTTGAGCCATGTCGTCTCTAACCATTGGTGACTTTCATCTCGCGGACCCCAACCAGGTAGCCTACATCTACCAACATGACTGAGTCCACTAGTCAATGACTTCACGGATTTCTGCCATGTTTTGGTTTGGACGCTCCTAGCTTTCTTCCAACCGACTCCTACACCACAAAACATAGCTTGTCGAGGCATTCGATGGTTAGGCATACGTAACACATGTCCCAACCACCTCAATTGATGAAGTTTCACTACTTCATCTATTGACCTGCCATCCTTACCTAGTACTCGTTTCCTAACGACAGCATTGCTTACTCCGCAGTTCCACGATACACGAGCAATGCTTCGGAGATACCTATGGTCTAAAACCAGTAACCTACGAATATCTACTCTGACTTGCCATGTTTCACAGCCATAAAGTAGGACGGAGCGAACTACTTAGCAGTACACTCGTCCGTTAGTCAGCGAACGGATATCTGGCCTACGCCATGAGGGACGCAGGGTTTTCCGTTTACGGTGACTGGACATCGTGGGCAACCGAAGTGTTGCTGAAGGCAAGTTGAACCGATCCCTAAACTGTTATGCCCATCGGTCCGATCTCCTGGATTGAGAAGGAACAATAGTCCTATCCTTTTCCGAGATAGTTTCACTCACATTTGGGTTCCTAATACCAGTTTCCTTGAGAAGTCTGAATAGTTGCCTACTGTTGCTTATCGCCGTTGCCTTTTCCATCTCCCTTGCTTTCGCTACTCACCACTGTTCTCGATCATTGCGAAGGCTTTTTATCAGCATGCGCCTGAGCTGACTCCGCTCCTCATCGTACACAAAGCCCTACGACCCAATGCTATACCTACACCAGCGAGACCCCGGGAAGTAGCATCAGGGCTACCGGATACATGAAGAGTAAATCGTGCTGCTTCTTTGTTTTGATTAGGTGAAATCAAATTAATCATTTTACTAGGATCATGTATGCGCGTTTCGGAGATGCAGCATACATCGATTGAGCGACATTCTAAAGTCCTAGCTAACGAAGCCTGTTGCCCTATTTGACACAATGTCCGTACATTAAATGCTCCAACAAACAATCTAGAACGGGGTTTCAGGAGGCCAGGAATAACGTTTTGAGGACTCGAATCGTTTGCAGCAGAGGTGCGGGGAGATAAAAGAATGTGAGAAGAGTTAGTATTAAAGATAAGGGGGATGTTAGGGGTTGTAGGAAGGGTTTGATTGTGGCCAATTTGATCTCTCCTGCTGTTACAGATATGACGGCGGTTGTCAATTCCCGGCTGCCCACACCGTCGAAGGTTGTTTCTAGAGGAACCTGAAAAGGAAGTTATATTAGCACTGGTCTTAGAGACCTGGGTGCGTGACCGCAGAGACCAAGGGATGACTGCTTGAGGCCGGTTATGCACGGGCTTTTGATGAAAGGATTTTTGAGTGTTAGCTCCACTCTTAAAAGTCCTTAGTGGGCACCCTTACCGCCGGATACGGAAATCCGTGAGGTAGGGTGAGGTGTGACATTTTAGGGTCGACATTTTCTAACTCTTCCTTCCTTGTGAGAAGGCAGCATCGCTGCAGATGCTGGTTGTCCGAGGGAAACACCTTATGCTGTCACACTCCTCTACAGACAGTCAGCAGTACGACTTCGCCCGACCGTAGCTGCTACCTTGACGTGGTGGTCGGGCTTGCCTATCGTCATGACCCAACCGAGCTATACTGGTTGGAACATATGTTCCTGCAAGTCCTACCATGCCAGACACATCGATTAGAGAACGATGAGACTAAAAGCGGCTAACCAAGGTCTGAGGGCGAAGTCGTACTGCTGACTGACTGCAGAGGGGTGTGACAGCAGTAAGGTGTTTCCCTCGGACAACCAGCATCTGCAGCGATGCTGCCTTCTCACAAGGAAGGAAGGGTTAGAAAAGGTCGGCCCTAAAAATATCACACCTCCCCTAACTCACGGATTTCCGTCTCCGACGGTAAGGGTGCCCACTAAGGGCCTTTAAGAACGGAGCTAATCCTCAAAAAACATTTCATAAAAAGGCCGTGCGTGACCGGCCTGAAGCAGTTGTCCCTTGGACTCTGCGGTCACGCACCAACACTAATCTATCTTCCTTTCCAGGTTCCTCAAGAAACAACCTTCCACGGTGTGGGCAGCCGGGAAGTGACAACCGCCCTCATACCCATAACAGCACGCGAGACCGAATTGGTCAAAATCATATCCTTCCTACAACCCCTAGTACCTCTCTTATCTCCACGACTAACTCTTCTCACATTCATTCATCACAGTGCACAACTAATGCAGACGATACGAGTTCGCGAAACGTCGTTCCTGGTCTCCTTAAACCTCGCTCTAGACTACATGTTGGAGCATTTAATGTACGGACATTGTGTCAAATAGGGCAACAGGCTTCCTTAGCTAGGACTTTAGAATCTCGCTCAATCGATGTATGCTGCGTCTCGAAACGCGCATACAGGATTCTAGTAAAATTATTAATCTGATTTCACCTTATCAAAAAGAAGCAGCTCGATTTACTCTTCGTGTATCCGGTAGCCCTGATGCTGCTTCCAGGGGTCTTGCTGGCGTAGGCATAGCATTGAGTCGTAGGGCAGAACAGTCTCTCCTTGACTGGATCCCAATAGATAGTCGATTGTGCGCTGTCCGACTAAACGGGACAGTAAGGACTCGGAAAGATAGGGACAATCGGCGGTGCCTCTTCATCGTATCTGCCTACGCCCCCACTGACTGCAGTGCAGACGAGGTTAAGGATGAGTTTTACAGAAAGCTTTCGGACCTCCTCCAAAAAGCTAGGCGCTCTGATATAGTAATAATGGCTGGTGACTTCAATGCTCAAGTAGGTAGACTAAGTGAGCAGGAGAGACACCTAGGTGGATGTTATGGTGTCGCGGCTCAGAGAACAGACAATGGTGACCGTCTGTTGCAAGCATGCTCAGACAACCGCCTATTCTTAGCAAACACTAACTTTAGGCATAAGGAAAAGCATCTGTTGACCTGGCGACCTCCAAAGTCGCCTCAACGTTGGACTTAACTAGATCACATCGCCATCAGCCACCGATGGAGGGGTTCGATAGAGGACTGTCGCTCGTTCTGGAGCACATGTCTAGATTCAGATCATGCCCTAGTGCGAGTGCGTATTTGCTTGAAGCTTACTGGGCATAGGAAAGACACCGTAAGAAAGCCTCTTAGGGTTTTACTTAATGATAATAAGGCGAAAAATATATTTCAGGAACAACTAGAAAGACAGTTAGGCGACCATTTAAGCGATTCCAATCCGGAAGCAGGATGGAATGATATCAAAAAGGCTGTGGAAACAGCAGTGATATCTGCTAGTAAGGTTGACCATAAGGCTAGAATGAAACCGTGGATCTCAGTAGCATCCACCGATCTGATGGATGCCCGAAAACTCATCCCACCTGGCTCTGAACATGATGAAGAACGAAGTCAACTTAGGCGCAGACTTATAAAAAGTCTGCGTAACGATCGCGAACAGTGGTGGGTGGCGAAAGCAAAAGCGATGGAAAAGGCAGCGGCGATCGGCAACAGTAGACAACTTTTCCGACTTATCAAGGAAACTGGTATTAGGAATCCTAGTGTAAGTGAGACTATCTCAGAAAATGACGGGACTATTAGTTATTCTCAATCCAGGAGACTGGATCGATGGGCAGAACACTTTAGGGATCAGTTCAACTGGCCTCGAGCCACTCTTCGGTTACCCACGATCTCCAGTCATCCTGAATGGCAAATCGACGTAAGTCCCCCTAGTCTTAATGAAGTTGAAAAAGCGTTAGGAAATCTGAAGCGAGGACGAGCTGCAGGTCCTGACAGACTGACCCCTGAGATATTTAAGGATGGAGGTCCAGTTTTATCAGCTAGGTTGACTGAGATCTTAGGTAGAATCTGGGAACCGGATGTAATCCCATCCGACTGGTCTCAATCACTGATTGTCCCAATCTATAAGAAAGGACAGAAGTCTTCTTGTGACAATCACAGAGGAATAAGTCTAACTAATATATTATCTAAACTATTGGCCTCAGTAATACTTCGACGCTTAACGAAAGCTCTTAAAGAGCAAACTCGAGAAAACCAGTCTGGTTTTCGACCTGGACGTGGTTGTATAGACCACATCTTCCCACTCAGACAGGTCCTGGAACACAGACACACATTTAGGCGTCCTACAATAGTTGTTTTCCTAGACCTTAAGGCGGCATTTGACTCTGTTGATCGTGAGGTTCTGTGGCAGTGTCTGTCATTGAAAGGTGTACCAAATAAGTACATTAACCTCATACAAGCTCTCTACTCAAACACCACTGGTCGAGTGAGAGCTTATGGCGAACTGTCACCGGAATTCTCTACTTCAAGTGGTGTCCGTCAGGGCTGTCCACTTTATCCATTCTTGTTTAATTTTATCATAGACATGCTCCTAGAAATAACCTTATTCTCGTCTGAATTTTCAGGAGTAGACCTTCTACCAGGTGGCTCGCTTACTGATTTAGAATATGCCGATGACATTGTCCTACTTGGTGAAGACGCTGACAAAATGCAGAGTCTTCTGACTAACCTAAGCCACAATGTAAGCATGTTCGGGATGCGGTTTTCCCCCTCGAAATGCAAAATGTTGCTTCAAGATTGGGTTGCATCGGCACCTGAACTAGTGATAGGGAGTGAAGTGGTCGAACGTGTAGACCGCTTCACTTATCTTGGGAGTCTCATCAGTGCTGATGGCCTGGTGACTGACGAAATCTCGGCACAGATACAAAAGGCTGGATTGGCTTTTGCCAACCTGCGTCACTTATGGCGCAGGCGAGATATCCGTTTGCTGACTAAAGGACGAGTGTACTGCGCAGTGGTTCGCTCCGTCTTACTTTATGGCTGTGAAACATGGCCAATGAGAGTAGAAGATACTCGTCGGTTATTGGTTTTCGGTCATAGGTGTCTTCGAAGCATTGCTCGTATATGGTGGGACAACCGAGTGAGTAACGCTGTTATTAGGAAACGGGTACTAGGTAAGAATGGCAGATCAATCGATGAAGTGGTAAAACTTCATCAGTTGAGGTGGTTGGGACACGTGTTGCGTATGCCTAACCACCGACTGCCTCGAAGAGCTTTGTTTTGTAGTGTAGGAATAGGTTGGAAGAAAGCTAGGGGCGGCCAAACCAAAACATGGCAGAAATCCATGAAGTCATTGACGAGTGGACTTAGCCATGTCGGTAATTGTCGACTACCCGGTTGGGGTCCGCGAGATGATAATAATCGATGGCTAGAGACCTTGAATGACATGGCTCAAAATCGTTCGCAATGGCGCCAGTGCATTTATTCTTTGTGTTCTCTCTAATCCTAATCTTCTGGGTTCTTCAACACCTCTAGTTTTTACTTTCTAAACTTATCTCATTGAATCATACTTCGTGAATAATATCTTCTAATTCTAACCTCTCCGATTACTTCTAATACCTTTACTACCTCTTCTACTATTGGATTTGAATTGACAATTATATCTCTGTGCTGATGTGGTATGGCGACATGAACTGATGTACTTACGTACGAAGTTCTACGTTGCAACTGACTGACTGACTGACTGACTTCGCCCTCAGACCTCGAGTAGCTGCTTTTAGTCTCATCGTTCTGCAATCAACCTGCTTGGCATGGTAGAACCTTCAGGAACATAAGTTCCAGCCAATATAGCCCGGTTGTTTCATCACGATAGGCAAGCCCGACCACCACGTCAAGGTAGCAGCTACGGTCAGGAAACCAAGTTAAGCAAGATCCACTAAAATCTTTTTTTCTAAAAGACACACAATCTTATGTGGTGGTTGTTAGTTCTCTGAGCTGGTTGTTTTGGTTGTGGAGCTTTCATTGTTCTTTTGAACAACATCACCAGCACAAACTTCAGATAGAAGTGAAGCATTCGAATTTCTCCACGTTTCACCTGTAGCTTCAGGTGTTGATGTTGTTCAGAAGAACAATGAAAGCTCCACAAGCAATACAACCAGCTCACAGAAGTAAACACCACCACAATCATCCACCTGAGCTACAAATTTTCTCTACCATCTCATAAACACACAATCTTAATCCATTCAGATAAGAAAAGGGATGCAATAATATAAAAATATAAAGAAAGTGGTTACTTGAAAATTTGCACGAACATCTTCAATGGTTCCAGATTCAAAAATTGATCTCAACTGTTTATCTTGTGGTGGTTCTTTTTTACAATACAAACGATAAATATCAGACAAACTGTTTAAACTAGTTTCTGAAAGCCAATCAAGACCCTTGGTTTATACCGAAATTTTAGAAATAATAAAAAGCAAACCAAATTATTGACTTCAATAGATGGGAAATTATTAAATAATTGGGATAATAATAATAGTAATAATAATAATATAATGTTGATTGAATAAAGAGTCGTTCAAAAAATGCATGTGAATTTAACATCGTTCGATTGATTCAATTTCTACAGGGATTCTCTCGATACTCGCGATGATGCAGATATATTTAGACAGTCGCTCAAAATATCAAAACGGGATAGTTAAAATCATTTGAAATTGAATCAGATCTCATACCCATCACACAAGTGGCTATCTGGACTCAGCAGCTAAGTGTATAGAGAGAGAGCGTTGAAAGTGGACAATACTGAGTTTGAGTTCCGAAAAGAACATCAACCTTGAGACATAGGTACCTTCAGCAAAGGAGTCCCAAATGGGATAGAACGCAAGTCATGTATTTCATTTTACGTAAACTTAAAGATAATCATGAGTTAATTCATGTAAGAATATGGTCGATGTTAATATTATATTATCTAAAGAAAAAGTGAACATACTAAGACAGAGTGAATGGCTGGATATGGTAAAACAATGATAGAAAAAAAAGCAGCGCAATTAAGTGACACATTTGGAAAACACAGTCAAATGAGATAGCACTCCAAAATTTCGGTATTTTCGAAGATCGCGAAAAACATCGTTTCTCTTCTACACCAATTAGAAGCATAAGTGAAGAGATAGTTTATAACCTTCGTTTTCATTTGAGCCATTTCATTCAATATCTCTAACCATCACTTACTATCGTGTCGCGGATCCCAACGTGACAGACTACACCTAATAACATGACTCAGATCATATGTCAGTGACTTCATGCATTTCTGCCATGTTTCGGTTAGGCCGCACCTAGCTTTCTTCCAATCTACTCCTACACTGCAAAACATAGCTCGTCGCGACAGTCGGTGGTCAGCCATACGTAACACATGTCCCAACAACCTCAACTGATGAAGTTTCACTACTTCATTTTTTGATTTGCCGTCCCTACCTAGAACACGTTTCCTAACGACAGCATTGCTTATACGGTTGTCCAATGATACACGAGCAATGTTTCGGAGACATCGATCATCGGAGACCAGTAACCTACGGAAGTCCTCCACTCTTAACGGCCAAGTCTAGCATCCGTACAGTAGGACGGAGCGAACTGCTGCACAGTACACTCGTCCTTTAGTCAGCAAATGGATATTTCGCCTGCGCCATAGGTAACCCAGGTTGGAAAAAGCCAGACGAGCCTTCTATATTGGCGCTGAGATTGCGTCAGTCACCAGGCTATCAGCACTGATGAGACTCCCCAGGTAAGTGAAGTGATCAACACGTTCGACTATTTTACTCCCTATCACTAGTTCAGGTGCCGATGCAACCCAATCTTGAAGTAACATTTTGCATTTCCATGCAGAGAACCGCATCCCAAACACGCTTGCATTGTTGCTCAAGGTAGTCAACACCTTTTAATGACAGACACTGACACAGTACCTCAAGATCAAGGTCGAGAAATACTACTATTTTGGGGCGTTGGAAAGAGTGTTTATGTTATAGGACCTCATGTAGTGTGAATATTTGGTCTTTACACACACGTCCAGCTCTGAAAACAGCCTGCTCGAGCTCTAGTTAGCCTATCAGGACCTGCTGCTCTACCTCGCTTTGGATTTCCTATGGCTTTCTCAACTTCATAAAAATTTGGAGGACTTATGTCGGTTTCCCGTTCAATCAATCAATCAATAGCAACGTAGAACTCCGTACGTAAGTACATCAGTTCAAGTTGCCATACCACATTAGCACAGAGATGTAATTGTTAACTCAAATCCAATAGTAGTAGAGGTAGTAAAGGTATTAGCAGTAGTCGGAGAGGTTAGGATGTTATTCAAGAAGTAGAATCTAGTGAAATAGACTTAAGAGGATAAGGATAAAGTGATGAAGAATTAAAATGTTTAGGATTTGAGAGAATACAAAGAATGAATGCACCTTCACCATTGCAAACGGTTTTGAGCCACATCATTCAGGGTATCTAACTATCGATTATTATCATCTCGCGGGCCCCAACCAGGTAATCGACACCTACCGACATGGCTCAGTCCACTAGTCAATGACTTCATGGATTTCTACTTTGTTTTGGTCTGGCCGTCCATAGCTTTCCTCGACACCACAAAATATGGCTCAACGAGGCAGTCGGTGGTTGGGCATACGTAACAAATCCCGACCACCTCAACTAGTGGGACTTCACTACTTCATCCATTGACCTGCCATCCTTACCTAGTACTCGTTTCCTAACTATAGCATTGCTTACTCCGCAGTTCCACGATACACGAGCAATGCTTCGGAGATACCTATGGTCTAAAACCAGTAACCTACGAATATCTACTCTGACTTGCCATGTTTCACAGCCATAAAGTAGGACGGAGCGAACTACTTAGCAGTACACTCGTCCGTTAGTCAGCGAACGGATATCTGGCCTACGCCATGAGGGACGCAGGGTTTTCCGTTTACGGTGACTGGACATCGTGGGCAACCGAAGTGTTGCTGAAGGCAAGTTGAACCGATCCCTAAACTGTTATGCCCATCGATCCGATCTCCTGGATTGAGAAGGAACAATAGTCCTATCCTTTTCCGAGATAGTTTCACTCACATTTGGGTTCCTAATACAAGTTTCCTTGAGAAGTCTGAATAGTTGCCTACTGTTGCTTATCGCCGTTGCCTTTTCCATCTCCCTTGCTTTCGCTACTCACCACTGTTCTCGATCATTGCGAAGGCTTTTTATCAGCATGCGCCTGAGCTGACTCCGCTCCTCATCGTACACAAAGCCCTACGACCCAATGCTATACCTACACCAGCGAGACCCCAGGAAGTAGCATCAGGGCTACCGGATACATGAAGAGTAAATCGTGCTGCTTCTTTGTTTTGATTAGGTGAAATCAAATTAATCATTTTACTAAGATCATGTATGCGCGTTTTGGAGATGCAGCATACATCGATTGAGCGACATTCTAAAGTCCTAGCTAACGAAGCCTGTTGCCCTATTTGACACAATGTCCATACATTAAATGCTCCAACATGTAGTCTAGAGAGAGGTTTCAAGGGACGAAAAATAACGTTTCGGAAACTCGCATCGTTCGCATCAGCGGTGCACGGTGATAAAGGAATGTGAGTAGAGTTAGTCGTGCAGATAAGAGAGGTACTAGGGGGTGTAGGAAGGATTTGATTGTGACCGATATGGTCTCGTGTGCCGGTATGCGTTTGAGGGCGGACATCACTTCCCGGCTGTCCACACCGTGGATGAGTTTTTCCTGAGGAACCTGAAAAGGTAGTTGGATTAGCTTTGGTCTAAACGACTTGGAAGCGTGACCGCAGAGCTCAAGGTATAACTGATTGACGCAGGTCACGCACGGGCTTTTGATGAGAAGTTTTTGAAGTGTTATTTCCGCTCTTCGTTAAAAGCCCCTACCGCCGGAGACGGAAATCCGTGAGGTAGGGTGAGGTGTGACATTTTAGGGTCGACATTTTCTAACCCTTCCTTCCTTGTGAGAAGGCAGCATCGCTGCAGATGCTGGTTGTCCGAGGGAAACACCTTACTGCTGTCACACTCCTCTACAGTCAGTCAGCAGTACCACGTCGCCCTCAGACCTTGAGTAGCTGTTATTAGTCTCATCGTTCTCCAATCGACCTGCTTGACGTGGTAGAACCTTCAGGAACATAAGTTCCAGCCAACATAGCCCGGTTGTGTCATTACGATAGGCAAGCCCGACCACCATGTCACGGTAACAGCTACGGTCGGGTATGAAGGAATTTGGGTATCAAGAATGGAAATTATACACGAATGAAACTAATTTAGATACATAAAGTAGTTTTGTCTTACCATAGTGAAATCTGTAACAAGTTTTGTATCTGGTGACTGTTTATCAATCCGTCTTCCGATAAACTCTTGCCATGTTTTATTATTAAATAGGTGTTTATCTGCAGATGTTTTCAGGAATCTTTGAGTACTGGTCAAACCCGATACAGCAACATGGAGAGAAAGAGTATCAACAAATCGAATTCCAGTTCCCTAATGACCTATCAATAATTAATCAAACGTACATACATCCGGAAGATATTCTTCTGATATTCGAGCACGGTCATAACTAACAAAATGCCCAATAATACACTTTGAAATATCTTTATTTTTCGAACCATAAATAGGAATAAGGTAATTAAATGCGTCATCATCGTTTATCGAACCATCATCGTGATTGGAAAGACGTCTGGAGGTCCAAGAATACCTACAAAACTGAAAATCAACATTTGAGGCATACCAACCGTCTGATGTAAGAGCTACTGCCATTGTTGGTAGATGGCCCTCTTTAACGAGAACCTCTGTGTCAAAAATAAGAGCATCTTCAGGAGGCACCTCGACAGAATAGGTTTTATCACCACTATATCTGTAATAAATTTGTAATAATATATTTGCATCCACATACTTTGTCCATCCTGAGGAGGATTCCCAAATTTTAGGTAGCTCTGGCAAGGAACCAAAACTCTCTAACAATTTTATATAAGGATGAGAAAGTTCTTTCGCAACAAAATCTACATGCTCCTTGACATTGCTCCCATTAAGTTCAGGAATACTAAAATAAAGAGGGTCTTTGTGAAGCTTATTAGATGAAATGTCAATTCCCAGCCGAGAGAACTCTTGGAGTATTTCAGATGAAGCCTTTTGATAGTCGTACTTTTGACAATCAAACAGGACTTTCTGAAGATTTCGATCAATCATTAATATATTAGCCTCATTGTACGTTGGTGATTGCTTGGAATGATTAGACGAATAGAAACACAAACGGTGTTGCAAAAAAAACCCAGGGTTTCTCCAATGAACAAAAAATCTTGTGTACATAGTACGATGAGTCAAATGAAATTACCTAGTTGAAACAGAAAAAAGACGGTATGGAAATGGTGGGACAATTTTAATTAACGTTGGTCAGAAAGAAGAGTGCAAGAAATGCATAATGCAATCGACAAACCGAAACTTTCCAAAATACAAAAAATACCTACATAATTAACTCAAAGTACACGACGAATAAAAAATTCCTACGTTTTGAAACAAAATAGTTGTGACCTCTATTAGAATGAGGTCCTAAAAACTTCAGAAACAGAGTTTAAGACAATGAACAACAAATCCAGAACTACTAACACGGATTTCGGACAAGTTTTAAACAAGTGATAAAAAATTTACGACAACTTAGTATTTGAAACATTGTGAACTACTGTAAATTAATCTCAGAACTTCAAAGCGGGGAATTCCTGTCAGCATAAATCTTGCTCGACTTTCGAAAAGTGGTATATAGTTATACATTCGGTCGACCAAGTGAGATATTGGTGTCTGTAAGAAAGTTTTTTCACCAGATAGCTCCACCGGGGACGGAAATCCGCGAAGTGAGGTGTCACATTTTTAGGGTCAACTTTCTCTAACCATTTCTTTTCGTTGTGGGAATGAAGAATCTCTGAAGATAGTGGCCGTTCGAGGGAAACACCTTACTGCTGTTACACACCTTTACAGTCAGCAGCACGGCTTCGCCCTAAGACATTAAGTTGCTACACGACCACCACGTTAGGGTAGCATCTACGTCCGGGATTTATTTATAAGTATTAACATAATTTGTGAGCGTTCAGGAATTTAACACAACTTTTTCTATTGCGTTTAAACATCTCTTTGGAAACAATTTTCTCGACAATTGGTTTTCACTTTATTGTTTCCGTTACTTTTTGAAATATTACGTTCTGTTTTCTCGGTCACTTTCAATGACCAATACCTATTTATTTTCCAGGACTCAATCTTCATAAATAATTATTAATATAACTAAAAAACTCTGACATTTGACATCAATGAAAACAAAATTTTCTTTGATAAGCTGTTCTTTTTTGTTCTGAATGGCATTTCGTTTAGAAACCCTTGGACATTTCACAACAGCAAAGTAACTGCTTTCTTGTTAGGTTTTATCACACTTGCGGAGAGCCGACACCGAAATCACTATTTTCAAGAACCGAATACAAACCATATAACCACTATAATGACTAACACAAGTCATTTACTTTTGCGATAAAGTCGTGAGTAAGTTCAGTACTTCAATCCTTCGTTGACACCGAAACGAAGACCGAATGGCGATTTAAAAGGATAGACTATAGTGGGTCAAGCTTTGTAAACTTCACAACAATAATGGTGGAAAGAACTCAAAATAGTATGTACTGATGAGTAATACCTGTTACCAGAAATGAAAGTCCTCTCTCGTTAATGTAAGACGTTACAGCAATCAGCTAATTATTGAACTTTGAAAGATAGGGGACACTCATTGGTTGTATTTATTGCAACCAAAACGGAGAAGCAAATGGTGTGCCGCTGAAAGAACCTCTTAGATGTTCTTCTGGTGGGTTAGGCGTGCTCTATAAGAGACTTCATTCTATTCACCAAAGATTGAGAAAACCTAGTAATAGATGCACCATAGAATATTCGAGTAAACCTTGGTCATTATTGTTTCGATATTCACTTTGATCTAATAGGCGAAGGAAGGAATGAGGTCCGACCCGAAGTCAGTATCATCGGTAATTGAACATTGTAATTATTCGAGAACCTGGAGTCTACTGACTATTGAAGAAATTTGATGCAAGCTAATCCTATTTTGACAGCTATTACAAAGCCATAACACCACACATCACCCATCTTACCGACATGACAGAATCATGCTGGTCATATGCATCCAATATTCTCATAGCTGGACAACCTGCTGGGACCAGAAAATACTGATTCGTATTATATTCCTTGAATCTGAAAAGCTTTTGATCATGTACCTCATGTACCCCTAATTCCGAAGGTTGCACAGATTGGCTTGGAAACTTCCTGGGGAACAGAAAGTTTCTCACCAAGGTAAATAAAGTGCGTTCGAGCTGGTGAGTCTTAGGTTCACTCTTCTCAATACATAACAGTGACTTGCTAGATAAGATCAGCTCAGCTGCACGAATCTAAGTAGACAACATTAAATTCTGGAGGTCCATAAGAAGCGAAGTGGATTGAACCTTACAGCGATTGAGGAATGAGCAGTAGACAATGAGCTAAAACTTAAACAATTGAAGTATCACGTCATGGAAACTGCGCCGAATGACGCAAAGGGGTTACATTCTCAATGGAAGTCCGCTTCTTAATGTCTCTCCAGAGAGCGATTAGGGCTCAGTAACCACGTGAAGCCTTAACACCAGTTCAAACTACCTAGGGGACGCAAACAAGGCTAACACAACTTTGCCCTTTATGCGAAGACAACTTAATGCAATCAACGCACAACTGTTCTTAACTCTCTTCAGCACATACGCACACCAACACTTTGAAGTCCAAAATGTCGTCGCCCCCCACTCGTTAGAAGAGATATAAATCTTCTGGATCAACTGCAGAGACGAGCGACTATGTGAATGACAGGGTTGAAGAACAAACCTTACACAGACTGACTCCGAAATTTATGATTATTCCCTCTACCTTACAGAGGGATCAAAGGTGATTTGATAAGTACGCCAAATCGTCACAACATGAGCTTCTTGTCAAAGTACCAGTACTACACTTCTTGAGGTGAAACTCTAAAAACTGTTCGTCATAGAGCGATCACCCAGGTTCGTGCACACTTTTTCTCATTAAGGGCTGTTGCAACCTGGGATGCGTTCTCAGCCGGGGTGATCGCAGTCCCTGCAGTGGCTAGCTTCAAGAAGAGACTTAACGAGCACGTATTCACATACGGACTACCATCTCCCTCATGGGCCAGCTGTGTCTGGTGCATATCTCGAAACTTGCTAATTGTTATTATTGTTATTTCCTGAGATAACTAACTTATTTTATTTCGTTTACTATCACTGCTGCTACTTCTTTGCCTACACTTCTTTCCTCTCTCACAATCTTCAGTGACGACTTATCTATTAATCTGCTTTAAATAATTATTATAATTTATTCTCAAATAACAATATGTTACAAGATGCATGCCAGTTTACAGGCAAGAGCAAAATGTTAAAGTACATTGGCTTTATATAGATAGCTAAATTTTCCACATAAAATTATAGATAACTTTTCAGAATGCAATGTACGATTTGAATAATTGGCGCTAGTGACGACGGTTGCATTACGATGAACAGCTAATGCTGCGAAATAATAAAAGGTAAAGCCAGCTCTGCGTGTAACAATAATTGATGAGATAAATGTGCGAAGATCTTGTTGATAGTCGTCAGATAATCTTCTTCTCATGAAAATTCGAATTTTCGCTTCATTATTCCCCACACTGCATGCAACTGATCTCTGTCCTGGTTATGTGATAGGTGCTAGTATTCAGAAATCTTTCTGCCTTGAGACTAACGTGATAACTCAAACCATGGGACACACACAGTTACAAATAACTGTCAAAAGACTGGAATTAGTACTGTCGAGCGGCTTGACTACTATCCACTGAACATTACTAAACATCTTTGTAACTTTACCCTTTGGTTGGTTTGTGTTTATCCAGGAGGTACCTTGTGTGCGTGTGAACAGCAGCGTGTGAGAATATTTGGAAGAAGAAAAACAACTGAGCCAATGACTCAGTAAGCAGACAGAATGCACTTACATTCACAGGAGAAACCAATGGACTGCAACCAGAAATAAAGCCAGCATGAGATCGAGACAAACTGATAAACGAGACTAGAAGTTGCTAGAGTAAGGTTTCGAATGTGTTACACCTTATATCGTACCGAAAAAACAATAAGCAGGTACAAAGAAAATAGATTCATTGTAGAGCCTCGTACGTTAGCTCACGATTGTGAATAGTTCTCTATACTGTTGGCTGAAGTAAAAAATCAGACTCCTATGGTTCCCAAATTATCGCTCTTACTGTGGCACATAGTGACCATGTGTTTTATCCTATTTGAAGGCCTTGTTTAATCAAATTTGATTAATAAAGCAGCTAGTAAATGACCCTCGACGTAGAGCGCATACTTAAATAACGTCATTTCTTACTGAAATGACAAGGACAAATAGTAGATCAGGACGAAAATGTTAGAAGTTTTTGTGATCTGTGAGCTAGATAGTTTGGTTTCAAATAACGCCAGCATGTAGTATAGAATGACCAGCTTACTCTTTTACGTAAATTATTCTGTTTTATTAGTTGTCCAAACAATAGATTTATAACACCACTTTATCAGCGTGACAAACTTTTGGCTAGCATATAGTGACAATTTTTTTTTATCTAAACGATCTCAAATCACTGACTAGTCGTAAGATCAATGCTATCACTGAATACGAATTCTGAACCAGTTTTTCTGAAACCACCTGTTTCATTTAGACTGGTCTCCTTTACCGTTTACATACTAATGCAGACTGGATAACCGATATAGTTGGCTGTCTTCAGAAAGTCTGGATATGTATATCAAGGAGGCAATCACTTCAACATGCCAGGAGGTTCTGGTCCACACGAAGTAACACCATAAAGAATGGATCTCTGTTGGTACTCTTGATAAATTTCAAGAAAGGAGGAACAAGATGATGGAAATCAACACTAGCGAAACAAGAGCAGAGAAGGTTAAGGCACAAGCTGAATACACAAAAGTGAACAAGCAAATGAAGAAGAACATCAAAGACGACGAAGGTAAATATGTGCAAGGTCTAGCAAGGACGGGGGAAAGGGCTGCAAGAGAAGGAAACATGAGACAATGGCACGATACAACAAAGAAGCTTTCTCGAAACTATCGTGAAACAAATAGAACAGTCAAAAGCAAGGAAGGTGAAGTAATCAGCAATATGAAGAACAGCGAAATAGGTGGGTAGGGCGTTTCGAGGAACTCTTGAATCGAACAACTTCATTGAACCCACTCGACATCAAACCAGCATCTACGAACCTACCGACCAACGTTTGCATGACCATCAGACAAATCAAGAGTGGCAAAGCAGCAGGATCAGACAACTTTCCAACAGAGGCAATGAAAGCAGATGTGGAAGCAAATGCGAAAATATTTCACATTCTTTTCAAGAAGATTTGGGATGAAGAACAAGTACCATCAGATGGGAAAGAAGGATACCTGATATAAATACCAAAGATACGCGATCTCAGCAATTAATATATATATATATTCTCAAATAACTACGTTACAAGAGTCACGCCAGTTTACGGGCTAGATCAAATTGTCACAAATACTTTCACAATTACTGTAAAGTTATAGCAGTTAAATTAAGTAAAAGAGTCATTTTCTGATTGCATATTTACACCATGTCACTGACAGAAACAGTATAATACAGCCACATTTTCAATAGTAGATTACAAATAAGGAAGGTGCACTATAGGTTCTTTTGGCGATTTGCCGAGATCAATCATGAAGTTGTTGGGAAAGGTCATATGGAACGCGCTTGATACGAGCTGTGATCCAGACAGTCATGTACATTGGGTGCATGTTCCCTAGAGTTGCCAAGGACTTCCCACCGTGAATGGGGTTCTGAAAAGGAGAAGAGAGAGAGAAAAAGGCTGCAGTGTGGCAAGTGTATATATGTAACCAAAGCACTACTTAACCTGTCATGCTGAAGTAGTCAATACAGTAGTAAGTCAAGATAAAATTCATACTGACCACTTAAATTGAAGTGAATTATGGGAATATAACAATATAACCTACAGATAAAGGAGTACAGCAAAAAAGAAGGGAGAGTTGTGCAGTGTCAGGTGGATAGAAGAGAAGTCGAAATAAGAAGCTGGATTTATGTACGTTGAAATCGAAAGAGTAGAGTTTGTAAAAAGAA